AGCTCTGATAAGCTCACTGTCCAGCACCAAACAACAACAGACGACGTTTACAATGAAATAGTCAACATAGTGCATTTAATAGCTAAAGAACCAAACATTTCCCTCAGGTGTTGAAAACCAAGTGGAGCGAAAAATGTCCAGGAGCCTCTTGCTTGGTCTCTCTCTTTCTCTTCTTAGCTTCCTTTGTCAATGTCCTCTTTGGTCTCTTCACCTCTGCCATTAGCTAACGTTATGTCCATAGAGCCCGCTCGCCACCACCACCAGCATAATGTTACTTGAAAGCTTCTTCCAAAGAACTTACATTGTACATTATATACTTCTTACTTTTTTTTTTTGTGATGTGGTGCCATAAAGCATTACACTATTCTTGTGGCCAATGTACCATCAATATGATTTTGAAGCTGTTATTTTAACATAAAAGTACTACATAATGTTGCTTTAACTTTCAAAAATAAATCACTTTTACACCAAGCAGTAAAAACATTATTCCAAAAACACGTATAAATAGACATGAATGCTTCATTTTTGACAGAAAGCATAGGCTAAGATAATATAATATTTTCACCCTTAAACGCCATGTTACCTAATTTTAGCCTAGACATCTACAGCCATTTAGACATTTTTGAAACATCTATTCAACAAAATTAGATCATTAAAAACATACATCGACCAGCTTTCTCTAGGGACTCTTGATAGATTGTAAATAGTCTCATTGATCACAGTCGGTAGCTACCCACATATACAAACTAGTAAGCAGACAGTTAAAAAGCAAGTTTATAAGTGTTTGTGCAGAGGCATATTTTCAGAGGATTAGAAGATTTTTTTTATTGCAGCGTTTACTGTGCTGTGGTGTAGCCTCCACTGGAGTGGCTACAGAGAGGCAGTGTCAAACCCTGTCCTTGGATCAGCTTACCAGCCCCTGTCTGCACCTTATCCCCGAGAGACTGAAAAAAATACAAAGTTGACCCATAGCTTAAGGGCAACATGGAGTAACAATAATGTTGTAGCAAGTTTGGTTTGACGGAGAGGGTCAGTTGTGTGATTATACTGCAGTAGATGGAGTATAGTCATGAGTGTGTAGGTGACATATACTCTACACAAAGTACGTCATTTTTACTGTCTACACTGCAGTGCACTTGTGGATGTTGCAAGCTCACAAAAAGATTTGAGGATGTTGATGATGACTTCAGGATGGCAGCAATAAATAATCTGTCCACGAGATGGAATGTGTCAACTTGGCACTGAAATAATTGTACACCTCACGTCTGCTGCTGAGTGCGAGAATCCTAAATCTTAAAATCCCCCTTAAGCAGGAGAGGCCACATGACAGGCCTGTTTAATATTCACTCTGTATTTGGGAGCCTCTCACGAAAGCAGAGCGAGCAGGAGGAGAGTGCAGTTTGCATCCTCCCTGTGGAGCCCATCTCTTCCTCTGAGCCGGGGGTCTCAGGTTGCCTCCTCTTCTTCACCCACAGATGGTGGTGTCACATCCCTGACGAGTGTCTCTTATGAAAGGGTGGTATATTAACATTGATTCAAGATGTGTAATGTGAGGGGGGGTCGCTGATAGTGATGACCCACAGAGGATACGTCCCAAGTCTGTAGTCCTCCTCAGTAATAAGAAACTATAACCTTTGGACTTTTACAGCTTTGAAAAACCTCTAAAAACTAATTTCAGACTGCAGCCAAACTAATCTAGCTAAGGTTAGCATCTAGAAGGTGAACTTGGTGGAGCATTTAGCAGCTAACGAGCCAGATGCACTTGGAGGAGACAAAAAAGCAGGGAGTTTTAAGGTGATAATAAGACAAAATAATGAATCTGGAAGAGAAACAGTGTCTCTGCAGTAAGTTACAAAGATGTCATATCATCTATTTTTGTATTTAACACCTCAGTATTGATTACACAATTTCAACCACAGGCGTAATCCAGAATTGGGGTGATGAGACGTGGTCTGTGAGGAAAAAAATATTAATGAAAGAAAAGTTAATATTCATAACTGTAACCCCTAACATTTGGCTAACACAGTAGAATAAATGAATAAAATTGTATCACTTTATTGTACTGAATCTTTAAGAGCAGCAAAATACAAAATATCAGTCACAATATATAACCATAACTGAAACCCCAGATGATATCTCTAACATCATGCTATCAATATTTCATCAATATAACTCCCAGCTCCACTACACTGAACTGCGGAAAAGCTGTGAAGCTCCGGAAAAGACTAAAAGAGAAACTCAGATGTTGGTGCTGCTGAAGTTGCTCCAATTCAAATGTTCCTTTACTTTGAAGAGATCAGAGACCACATACTGTATGCTACGCTGTGTTATTTCAATTTTGTGGCTCTTCTAAAAATGGGGCAATGTGAATCTCCTCAAATCTTCAGCTGAAGCACCAACCTTCATATGCCCCATAAATCTACGTAAAATAGCCCATAGGTGTCGGAGCGAGGAGAGATGAATGACTCAGGAACGCGCTCTGATTACCATCTGTCTTTCCATGATCATCACTGCCACCACGGGCTGACGAGGCGTTCTTTAAGACGATGTTTACTCTGTGCACTCCCAAGACACACACACACACACACACACACACACACACACACACACACACACACACACACACACACACACACACACTCACACTCACACACACAAAATATGAATGTTACAACATGCATTATAGATCTGAGATCAGAACTCCAGCAAACCCAAACCGTGATTAAAAAGAGCCTGTTTTGTTTTATCAGCCCTCTCCGCTTTCCTTATCAGCTCATTTGCATAATTAACAGTGGCTGACGCTGTCCTCGCAAGCAACTGCCACTGTGATTTTTCCTGCTTGGAGTTCTGTCCTACTTCATGGTGTCACTGTGACCCTTTTTATGTGGTGAATGCAGCAGCAGGTGCACTTCACTACATTCAGGTTTACATCTTTATAAACCTTTTTAAACTTAAAACACTGTTGAAAACAGCTGCTGGCGACTTTATACTCCAGTTCTGGGCCTATTTGTTTGGCATGTTTTTGTTATTCTCATTAATAACTGGCCAAACATCCCACTGAGATATCCCTGCACCGTAATGGAGATAACAAAAAACTTTTTTTTGTACATCTATATATAACGCATGCACAGTCCATCAAATTTAAAACACACAACTCTTCTCCTGTACACCAGGCTTCACTCACCAAATGTTTCATGAGTCATGTGACCATAGAGCGTACTTATGTACTATAATTATGCTTTTTGTGACAAAATGCTGTTTACAAAATACAAAATGTGCAATATTCCAACCATCATTTCAGAATATTCTTTAGCAAATACAATCTTGCATCTAAAAAAGTTGAATGTCCATCTATTCAATATAAAGCAACACATTCTGTTTTCCTTAAACCTCATTTGTCAAACAAATGTTTTGAAACACAATATTCTCCAATCTCTTTATATTTATAACTAACCTGGCAGATTGACAATTTTTTTTCTAAGGCGTCACTTTGTGCTGAAAAGTGGTGGGGACATAAGGGCTCAGATTTGGGGTTTGATGATACATTTAGGTCATGACACGTGATGATGCACGAGAACAAGACGAGAAGATTTTTAACAATATTTTGAAAAGCATGAAAGGCTGAAATATATGAGTGGGGGGTCTGGGGTCCTCCCCTAGAAAAACAGGAGCATTAAACACCTTATTTCATGCATTCTGGAGACATTTTCTGCTCCAATTTATGGTGGAAATTATATAAAGGGAAACAAAACAAAAAATCAGCTGGCAGGTGACACTTGATAAATATAAAAATATAACACCAAGCAGTATATATAATAATATAATAATAATAATAATAATATAATGCAGTATTAAGCTGCAATTTTTGGATATTTAATTATATATATTATATATATTTAAATTGCATTGCATGTTTTCTTATTGTGCAAATAAACCTTTCTCAAAGCATTTTCATTTGTAAATATTTTTCAGACCATTTTTACAAATGCTTTAAAAAACTGATGGGGACAAAATCAGCCATTTCAAAATGTGGATGGGACATGTCCTCAGCGTCCCCAGTGTAAATGACACCTATACTTGAACACATCAACAGTCAATTTTATTGAAAGTTTTTGGTGTCAGTCCCTGATATGAATGGTAGATCTCCACAAGATTAATACTTATTTTTTGTTTGTTTTCCATTATGTAATTTATAACATAGCTCCACCCATCTTCAGCCTGACTAGACACCAAATAAAAACAAATAATTGTTTGAAATGAATTATTGTTCATATATATCAGTATCAATAGTAGTGACAGGTGGATTTAACTTGCAGTGTGTTATAATGTTAACCCACTGTCACTCAACCTCCCAAGTGTCTTTTATATCTATTGTATCAGCACATCTGTTCATATTATCTACATATCCCAGATTGCATTTTGCTTAACGCAAAGCAACTTCAGAGCACACAAATTGGAAATTATCCTCTTTAGTAAAAGGTTTGCCTGTGCTCTGCTGGCCTTACTTTGATCAGAGATCATTTTGAGATGGACTTTTTTTTAATTAAAGGAAAATCCAATTAGAAAATATTCCTTGAAAGTTCTTTACCCTTTTAATATGATTAATCAGCTGCGAGTTTAGCAGACTGCTTACATACAGGGAAAGCCAAAGCAATACTGTGTACAACACACAGAATACGCGTATGTGTTTGAGTGCGTGTCATGTATTGTAGATGTAAAATAAAGGGGCATGTGAAGGTCAGCTGATGTACCGCAGTCCCTGTGAACAGAGGGTGATTTCCACTCAGAGATATTTTTTAAAAAGTGCTCAGAGGAAGGTGACTTGTGCTGCTGCGTGATGAGTAATCTGACTCTCCCTTTGTTTTTCCCCTCTGCTGTCCTTTGCACACTCTCTCTCTCTAAAACACACACATTATCTCCCTGCATTGCGTGGTCTCCCTCTCTTATGTCTACACTCCTAACCTGTCTTTCTTTCTCTCTCTTTCTGTGTCTCTCTGCAGGCTCGCTGACGGTATCCATCACCGACATGCGTGCTCCAGTCGTGGGGGGCTCCGGGGGGGTCTACGCTCTGTGCTCAGCGCATCTGGCCAACGTTGTCATGGTAACTGTCATCATCACCGCCTGCATTGTCACGTCTGAAAGCAGTTTTCAATAGAGATGAAATTCAGAACTGTCCGCATGTTGCTAGACTGAGACGCCACACAGTCCCACTTTTTGAAATAGATGTTAGTTGGAGGTTTTCCCTGCTATAGTCAGATCTCATCCATGTGATAAATAATTTTTATTGCCTGGCTGTTTTTGGGAAAGTGCCATTGAATATTCCATGTGACCTCTTTGGAGAAGCTGCACGTTGTTGATGAGCAGCATACCCCAAAGACTTCCTCTAGTATCTCATATTGCTATGACCACAACATGTTTTCACTGCTTTTGTATTGATGAATCTGAAGTGAACTGGCACTTCAGACACTTAAATAAATTATTAAGACTGTGTTTATTTGTGTCCACTGAAAAAGCAAGCAGTGAACTCCCTTGATGCTGCTTTCTCTCACAGGGTTTACATGTGAAATGCCTTCCACATTCTCTTCAACTCTCGAGGCGACGTTACATCTGACAAATCACTTTAACTAATGTCGCTGTTCACTGTGGGCAGTGGAGGTGCCAGCAGGGATAGAAATCAAAGTGCAGTGATGGGCCCAAAGCAAAGGCTGTGTGCTCGTAGCAACTAAAAGTTTATTTGGTCTGTTACGCTTGGTGCCTGTTTGTTGTTGGGAAATCTTTCAAGGCACGTCTTAGTTCTGCTCTGATGAGTTTTTTTTTTCTAGTTTGTGTTTTTGGAGAAAATCTTGAAACCTCGTCCGGTCTCGACCCGGTAAATTCCCAGACATCTGCCATCAAGCATCATCATCCGTTTCGCTCAACAGACATTTTCAGGTTCAGTGAAGTTTCAAGCACCACTGTGGACGTGACTCTCTAGAAGTCATGCAGCTCCAGCTAAATTGTCAGAATACATCATGGAACCATGTAGCGTGCACAAATTCAACTTTTGACATCACTTACATCTTCTTTTTATGGTTCTTGATGTTATTAAAGAAAAACGTGCCCTTTTGTTTTGCGTTTTTATATTTGTGTCTTCTAAACAACAAGCTCTTTCTTTGAGTCTCTGAATGATCCTCTGCATCTCACACACACATAGGTGGATTGGCTGTCCTTTGTTAAAAATTGCCCAAATCATCCTCCCATCAGAATGCAGCAACACCACATAACACCCAGATCAGACCTCCACCTCTGCAGTACTGTGGTGACCTCTCCCCTCCCCTCCATGACATTAATCATTTATGTGTAGAAATATTGTGGCATTACCAGCACTGCCACTCCTCGCTTTGTTTTTAAACGTCTGGTCACGGCAGGTTCAATTTTATGCTTTCTCCTTTGTCTTTAATTTTGCATGGCGTTCACCATTTCTTTTTCAGCTGTGATAGAAGAGGAGAAACACCGGCCCTGAGTCAAATTCCCACAGGCAGGAACTTAAAGAGATGTGCGTTTGGTAAAATTTTTCATCATGGGGAATAAATGTGTTATTCTAAGTCAGGATACCATCGCTCTTTCCCCCCAAGAGAATCGTGAGGGATATTTATTGGCCTGTTCTCCCCTTGTGTTAAATTATCTTAGCCCTAATTAATAGGGTGCCACTGGGTTGGAACCAGTAAGTGAAGAGCAGCCAGGTGTAAAATCTGTGTGTAGTGGAAGTGCTGGTTCTTCTCTCATATGGATGTGGATTGTCTTTCTATCAGATCTAAATATGTACAGAGGTTAGAAATGGAGGACTTTCTTCCCAGACTGTTAATGTACTCATATAAATAATGTTTTTTAGTGTCGTGAATATTTGTGCTGACGAGACACTTTGGCTCTGTGTTGCAGAACTGGGCCGGGATGCGGTGTCCGTACAAGCTGCTCCGCATGATCCTGGCGCTAGTTTGCAGTAAGTTGTCCAGATTTACTCTCAAAGCCCTGCGCTTCTGTTCCTGCTGTTGCTCTTTATGCTGAATTTATAGTCAAATTATTAAGCAGGGAGTGAGTGCAGCCTTTCATTTTCAGCATATTTAATGTTGCACACCTGTTCCACTGAGGGTTTATCATCTGAGTGGGGTTAAAAAACCTCTTAAAGCTGAGCAACAGACTCAGGCTATCTTTGTTAATTGCTCAGAGTGAGAGGCTCCATGATTGGACACGTTGCTTTGTTTTCAATGCTTTTGAGTCATACTACTTGTCCTTTTTCTCCACATGAGGGCCGATACACTGTGACTTTCATTAGTGAGCAATATGTTCCCTCCATCTGTCCCGAGCCTGCCGCCCCCGAACTAAGAGAGAAGCAAGTCTCTGCTGGAATGTGATATTTCTACTCAGTGATTTACAAACAGGAAATACAGCATTTAAAAAAAATAAAATGTGACAGATCATTTGTGTGAGATACTGTGAGGACTGAATTAACATTTACTCTGGTTTTATACTGTCAGTGTTGAGTATGTTTTCAGCTAAAGAGGCTTTGGAAGAGCAGCAACAACAAATAACATTTGAAAGCAATTTAAAAAAAAAAAAAAAGATCCATTGAAATTGTCCTGTGACCTTTCTTTGCCTGCAGAAGTAGACTTTGATGAAACACTTAACTACAATACACTGTATAGCTCAAAGTCAGCTCAGTCCTAGGCCATATGTGGAAAATGAGTTATACAAATGATTCCCTTTCTTAGAAGGATGATGAAAAATGTTCTGATTTTAAATGAGAACGTGTAAGTTATAGGGAAAGCCAAATAAACTCAATACCAGTAGAGTAGATGTTCATGAGTATATTGCCTTAGTGCATGATGGAAGACTTCCACTTAACACCTACCTCATATAAATGCAATCATATGGTTTCAACTATCTTCTCATGTTGCCTTTCTTTCAAAATAAGAGCACACTGTCATTCAAGACTTTTTCTAAGATTCACATAATTTTTGTCTGATAACCACATGTAAGCCTTGATTAGTTAAAGAAATAGTTCAGTATTTTGGGAAATATCCTTATTCGTTTTCTAGCAGAGAGTAAAATGAGAGGATTGATAACATTTGCATGTCTGTAGGTTAAATATGAGACAACAGCCAGCAGATGGTTAGCTTAGCTTAGCACAAACATTAGAAACGGGCAACAGCATAGCCTGGCTCTGTCCAAATGTCCACCTACCAGCACCTCCAAAACAAATTTCTTGTTTGTTTATTCCATATAGATGTAAAAAAAATAAAAATATAAATAAATAAATAATTCAGGTCACCATTTTTCTGGGGGTTATGTGTTGGACTATGGCTGTTTTTTGAAAAACGCCTGCTACATACTACATACTGCGTTTCATAGTAGTACGCAGTATGAAACTGTTAAATCGATTTATTTTCAGTATGCTAGGACAGGCTTAGCCAGTTTCCGGTTTTGGAAAGCGGTGTGAGGAGAACAACCGATGTGTAATGAATGTAACGGTAATACCTCCTACTACCCATAACAAAGCCATAACGTTTATAAAGCCTGCTAAGCTAACGCTTGATATCACGAAGACAGCAACGTTAACCTTACCAAACATACATGACTTAAATCTTATAATGAGTTGTATTTTTTTGTTATCAGGGACAGAGCAATTACATTCCTTCTTGTCCACTACTGACACAGGGATGCTGCTGTTTGCCATTTCAGCAATAACCAGCTATTGAGACTGCCTGGTTAAATAAAAATTACATTTAAAAAAATATCCAGTTGTTGTGACTGTTTCAGTGCTTTGCATTGTGGGACACAGTATGCGAGGTAGATGCGTACTGGAGATATTTTCTGAATCAGTATGACATCCGGGTATTTTTGGCATTCTGTAGATTTTATTTTTGTTTGCATACTACATGCTAGGCCTACATTTAAACCAAATCCGTATGTACTGCTAGTATAGTAGGAGGCAGAAACTCCAGGAAGTTACTAGTCCTAGCCAAGAAATGATCTAGCATATAAACCAGTAAAACATGGAATCGTTGCTTTTAGCCTTCAGTTTTTGTACAGATCGAACCAATTAAATATAACATGTTAACTGAGCCAGGCTAGCTGTTCCCCCTCTTTCGAGTCTTTTTGCTAAGCTAACCTAACTAGCTGTTGGCTGTAGCTTACATATTTATCGTACAGACATGAGAGTGGTATACATTTTTTCCATCTAACTCTCCACCAGAAAGCATAGAAACAAATTTCTTAAATTAAACAACTCTTTTAAGCCATATGACTGAATAACAAGACCCTAGTAGGACATGATTTCCTCATAGCTCCAGTCATGAGCTATTAAGGAGATTTTGTCTTTCATTTCTTGTCTGTCCTTCACAGTGAGTTCAGAGGTGGGTCGTGCTGTCTGGCTCCGCTTCTCACCGCCGCTGCCCTCCTCGGGGCCCCAGCCGAGCTTCATGGCACACCTGTCAGGGGCCGTGGTCGGTATCAGCATGGGGTTGCTGATTCTCCGCAGCTACGAGGAGAGTCTGCAGAAACAGTGCTCCTGGTGGGTCATCGTCTTCTCCTTCATCACCTTCCTCCTCTTCGCCATCTTCTGGAACATCTTTGCATATGAGCTGCTGGGGGTGCAGATACCACCTCCTCCCTGATGAAGGCCCTCCTCCACATACACTGACTCCAACCCTGCTCCAAACAAAGGCTTTGACCATAGTTAACTTTCCCATTTCCTCTCAAGTTAGACCCAAATGAAATGATATGAAATCATTTAAAACTAAAATTGACCAAGAATTCTTTTTTACAGATACTTTGCAAATCAAAGAAATATGTCTCTTTTATTAAAGAGGGATTACAGTAGCAACAAGTACAGGTGAAAGCTCCTCAGATCAATTTTGAGGAGCATTATATCTTTTTATATATATACGTTGAAATCTCATCTACATTACCAGCACTAACCTATCAGTGAGCATTTAGCCATTGTGCTCTTTTTTTCAGAGGCTTTTTGAAAAGCTGTTTCATCGGTCGATTCTGAGTGCATCTTTAAAATGTGTAAAGACCTCAAGTACGAAGAATCTGAGTTCATGACACGTGCCTCTGGTGAAAAGAAATTTAAGGGAGGCAGGAGTGTGTATTGCAGCAGTGACAATGCTGGCAAAACGCTAAGAGAAATGTTCTGTCTTTCAGTAAAGGCCAGAGATCAGGATCAGCTGCAGGGATGCCCCTTAAACCAATAGAGTTTCAGTGTTTTGCTTAAAGGCACCTAAGCAGAGTAGACACCTGAATCTGACTCCTTTGGCTGTGCCACAAATCAGAGCTGCAGGAGAAGATTTAATGAAGGATTTCAGGAAGAGCATGTTTATTTCTGGGGGCAGCAATAAAAAAAAAACCCACAGGAGCACTGTTGAAACATGATTTTTAATAAGATTTTTTTAAATTTCACAGCCCTGCTGTTACTCACAGGGGTTACTGTGGCTTTTTGCAAAATTGAAAAAAATCAACTAACCAAACATTTATCATAAGCTGATAAGACAAGACATCAGTCAGATTTGTTGCCCCCAGGTGCAGATGGAATAAGAGACCCTGTCCCAGAGCAGTTGCAGGAAGAATGGAGGAAAACGTTTTAAATGCAAGATTTCAGGCACATTTCATGTGGATTCTGTTATCCTCAACGAGTACCTTAAAGTTAGAGGCATTGCTGTCATTTTCACTTCATAAGACGACATCAGTTTTCCTATGTTATTTCCATGACATTATACCTACACTGTGGACACAGAAACATAGCTCACACAACATGGACATGGAGATGGGAAATGAATGTGACCGCGTGACAGGAGAGCAAAGAAAAAGAAGTTCATGAAAAAATGACAGCTTTAGTTTTTCCTGGATGGTCATTTCTTAAGTGAGCAAACGCCTCCTGTTGTCAAATGCTAACCACCAACTTGTTAGGCGCACCGTGTAAAATATGCCATGTCATGCTCTGTGGCTCTCAGCGAGACAAGGACACACACACAGACACACTTCTCGTCTTTGTCTTTGAGAGCAGCAATTGCCTGATTCTGTAAGTCAACGTGGACAAACCGAAGAGAAGAAGACCACACACACACACACACACACAAACATAATGGCCTCTGCCTGTTCTCGCTCTGACAGACTGAACTGGGGAGGGCGCGGATGTGTCATCACCTGACCTCTGACCTTCGTGTCCCAGAGGGCATTGGGGTCTCTCTGTCAGGCCCAGTCTATACCTCAGTTTCTCATTCTTAGGGACTGTATACTTTTGTAAAGGAATGTACCTATAATGAAAAAAAAAAAGAGTGTTATTAAGTTGTCCCCGTTTTTCATTTGATAGTGGATGTGTGTATATTGTATGTTCATAACCAAGAGTATATTTATTTGTGTTTTTTTTCCTCTTTGAAGAGGAAAAGAGAAACATTTCAAATGGTGCAAAATTAATGCTATGATTGTTGTTCTTCTGAAAACTCCTGTATGGCTTTGATCCTCTGAAAAATAGTCTATGAGGCAGAATCCCCTGGTTTGTTAGATGACCACCGACGAATCGAGCTCACTTGATTTTATAAATCTTTAGTGCATTACAAAATAAGCCATAGAAAGAACTCATTCGAGAGGGCAAAAGCAGAGGAAGAAATGTGTTTGTTGGTTTGAAAACCTGCTGATTGGCAAACTGTGCAAGTACAAACCTGTGACTGAGATATTTTCATGTAGCTAGACTCATTTTTACAACTTGTTCGCCAACTGTGTAGACCTGTAGTTGATGCAGCTTAATTTTGCAAGCGTTCATATCTCCAAACTGTCCCCTGCAGTGTGCAGACGCTGCGCTGTAGTTCTTCCTTTGCAAATAACAAATTATAGACAGGGCCTCTGTCATGTATTATCTCCAGAGTGATTCAAGCTTTTTGCAAAGCCGAGGCGAGGATCGCAATTACATTTACTCGTGCCACGTTTCATTTTTCGTCTTTCAATCAATAATTCATTTGAATGTCCACTGGCCTTGGAAAGAAATGTTATGCATTTGCCAATTTTGATAGCTGCTCATAAATACTGTCAGTAGTAACAGAAGACTCTGTGTTAAATGAGGAAATCTGTATGAAATAGCCAGGAAAAGCCATTTTCAGATACATAAAGAAAAAAAGAGAGAGCAACAGATACGTGATGGAAACTCATGCATGTTAGGAAATATTGCTAGGGATAAGATATGTTGCTGAATAATGCATACACACCCTGTTAGCCTATAATGAAGATAAAGAGGATGCCTGAGTGGAGGTTAATGTGCCTCTTTAACTTAAGATTCATAGGAACCCAGAAGGGTTGTAAAAAGGGCTAGTAAATGGCTATGTTTTTGTAGAACACATTAACTGTGAATATTACCACTCCTGGAAGTACATGCAGGATTAAAGTCGAAGGCTTGTGAACTTTTGTTGCCCCTGAAACCCAAAAAAGGTTCTTCTCAAACAAAGAGAAATTATACCACTCTCTTCTGAAACGAAGAAAAACAATCAACATCATCAACAGAAGTAGCTTAAACAACCAAGTGGGGATAACCACAGAACCAACACACCTTCTAAGAACTGCTCTCCTGTCTGATAAAAAAAGAGCCTCTCCCGCACTCACACAGCAGCTCATCGTAAAGGAGAGGAGTGATAGAGGCCTGACTAACATCCTCTGGCTGACAGCATGTGACAGTTTTGGTGTGTGAGGGATGGTGGGACAGCAGAAACAACAATGCTGGCACTCTTCACAAAACTTCAGCAGGCCTGCAAAGCAGCAGCGTTCGTGCTTTTCCCCATACTGTCACACTCATGTCACAACATCATCGGTGTCAGGATGATGCATGGCTGTTGCAAGGATACACCAGAGCCCAAAGGTAGACCGTGAACAGGAAATCTTCCTTTAATAAGTGGATCTGACAGACTGCATGGTGTTAATTTAATTGCCGTCTTTGAGTGACATATCTGTTTGTTGTTCCGCAGTGTGAGGGATGGCATGAGCTGAATATCAGTATGGCATGCTGGGTCTGTCAGTAGCATTTGATCCTTCACTTTGGGTGATTCACATGCACCCCTTGATTGTTTGAGTCTCATGCATACATGAACCCTTTTTGATGTGACGGCACCTAAAATACTGTTCACTTCTCAGCTCATCTGATCCAAAAATGCAGCATAACTTTAAAGCAGCATACTTGACATTTACTGTTTCTTGTATCTCATCGTAAGTGGGATTTTTTTTGCACTTATTATAATGTAGTTAACTCACATGTGGGTGTGTGCCATATTCTCTACTGCCATAACCATTCTTTCATGTGTTTTTACCTCCCTATGCCAATCCATTGTGCTGTTATGCCCAATGCCTTGTTATAGTATAAGCCCACAAGACTGAGCACTGGGCAGAAAGGCTGCTTTGCTCTTAGCTATATGGTATAATCTACATGATCATGTACAGAATCCAGAAGAGAAAGCAGCAGCAGTGCAAACAACTGAAGTTGTTAATATATCCAGTAGCTGCTCTGAACTGCTGCTTGCCAACAAGCCGGCCAGGTTGCCTTTTCTTAGTATTTATTGCTACTTAGATTGCAGGCTACTGTAGCTCCAGACATGGCAATGTACTTACAACAACAGTCATTGGATGCTCACCAGTGCATAAAGTTACACTTGTAGTGTTTTACTGAAGATGTTGAATCCTGAAATGCTGGTTTAAAAAAGGTACAGACTTTAGCTCCCAAATGATCCTGGATATTGATCTGTGTGTAAAAAAATGGGTCCCATTTTAAATGTGTGTTAATGAGCTGGTAAAATTACACAAAATTAATTGGCTGGGACACAAAACTGCAGTGCAGACTAAACATGTGTCTATGAATTGCAGGTTGTCATAGTTCAGCAATTTATCAAACTATCCATTATGTTGAGAATCTTCAGTATTAACCTTTAAATGGGGAACGCCAGAGAATGTTCTGGTTTTCAAGTGGATTAGTGAACAATGATTTTTTTTGTCTACCACAGCTAGAAACAAGCATAAAGGAGAACATTGCTAAAGTCTTTGATTTGCTAGTTACTAGCTTTGGTACATATTATTTTCATGTTCACAAATACTGCCTGAACCACTCGAGGTCATGCAAATATCATATAGGTGGTTTCTTTAAAAGCAGAGTCTTTCCCTCCAACAATTTAAAATTTATAAAGTCATGTGTGTGCTGCTGTGGTAGTTTTTCCTGAGCTGCTTACTTGTATTGATAAAATGGTGCCAAGCTTACGAGGTTCAATCTCTCAGACCAGACAAGAGGTTGTACCAACACAGCGTTTACAAAAAGACAAAGCAGAAGAAGCTATTTTTCTCTCGGTCATGAGGAAACTAAAGGAAAACTAAATTTACAAATGGATAATTTATATCAAAGTCCTCATTAATTATTTCACAATCTATTGTACTTTTTAAATGTTCTGAACAGAACCATTTTATATTGTATATATATGAATATATTTTGTTTTATTTTGTACTGTTCATTGTACTTTTCTTTGATTTAGAAACAATATAAATAAAGAACAATACTGTGGCAACATCCTACTGCTTTTTTAAGTGTATTTAAGCACAAAATCATTATCACTGAGCTGCGATGATTAATCACTTAGTAGATTACTGGTGTCAGCTTCTCAAGTGTAAATACTTTCTGGCATTTTCAGTCCAGTCAACTGAATATTTTTGCATTATTAGTTGGACAAAAATACATACATGAAGATGTGACTTTGGGCTCTGAGTGTGATGGGTATTTTTCACTGTTTGCTTACATTTTACAGACCATATGATTAATCAACAAAACAATCACTTGATAAATTGATAATAAAAATAAATGTTAGTTGCAGCCCTGACCGTCATCGTCACTCAGTCTGGATTTGGAGTCAAAGCGAAGAAAAACTTTGAGGACTTTTATCTTACAGCTGTATGACTGAACTACATAAACTGTATCATTGGACCATGTTTACTCACATGTAAAGCATAACTGATATTAAAAATGTGGTTGTAGGATTTTAAACATTTGTAAACCTCATCTCACAAATTCTACAAAAAGAATAAAAATTAAAAGCTCAAAGGACTGTATTTGATATAAAGGCTTTATTATTTTGGAAAAATACAAAAAGAGATTCTGTGCAATAAATTGTAATTTTTATCTTGTTTTGAGCTTCTTTGCTGGTCTCTGGTCAGCGTCTGAGCACTTGTCCGCCACACTGCTGGCCTTCACAACAACATCCCTTAGAAGTGGGAGCTGCTGCTGTTTGGCTATGGTCATCGCCCACAAACACAGCTCCAGCCTGTGGGGCGTCCAGTCCTGTTGGGGATCCACTAAGGACAAGAGGGGAGGCCAGTCATCAGAATCAAAGGAGATTTGATGTGGCTTTTTGTTTTGACACTGATCAACAGGAAAAGATCATTTCATATCCAAGTGAAATGATCTAAACTAATTACAAATATAAAATACATTAAAGGGTCTTTTTCTCTTAATAAAGATTAAAAAAGACCACATTAAATTCCCTTTGATTCAGTGTAAAACAATAAAAAGTGAATTTTTTCCACTTTTCATAGGCAGTGTAATAAAACAGAAGACAAAAATTAGCTACATTTGCATAAAAACTGATTAAACGTGAGACTAAAAGTTACAGTGCGGTGCAAAGTAAGAATTAATAGTTCCAAAAGAAGTAGTAGTAGCAGCAGTAGTATCATACTCATGCACTGTAATACATGTGGACCAATGCAGATGTACGTCGTCACCTTTGTTTAGTTTTTGAGTCCACTCAACCATTTTACCCAGGTAGAGAGCGTAGTGCTTGGCTGTGTACTGGATGGGCTTTAGTCCCGGTACACTCTCCATGGCTTCATCAGACATGAAAGCAGTCTGTTCTGGAGCTCCTGCCGCCAACACAGCTGGACAAAAATGGACAGTCAGCCCCAAGCCAAGCTGGGTGTAGCCATGAAGTGAATACAAACTCTTTAAACAGAGAGCAGGGAGTCCCACACAGTCTACTAGTGTAATGACTACTCTGTACACGTATGGAGAAGGCAATCACTGGGATTTAAAAGGACCACAGAGATGTTTAATTTGTATAACTAGCTTTGATCTACTTGCTGGAGGTCTTCAGAAGCAGAATAGAGACACTTTGCAAACCTGAAGCGGTGGCTGGTCCGACTCCTTTCATGGTGCTGAGCTCTGCGATCGCTGCCTGCACATCAGGCAGCAGGCTGAAGGCCTTTCTGGAACATTTCTCCACAGTGTCCTCGCTGTTGGAAGCCACCAGCTGCTGCAGCCTCGGCCTGAATTTCCCTCTCTGCAGACAAGCACACAGGGCCACTCAAGGTCACAGCTGATGCACTGAGTGCTGTTAAGACTGTCAGTGCCTCTTAATACCGTAGCTATAGTATTTACTTTATGTTTTAAGGAGGATTTACTTGAGCAGTGGGACAACATCTTTTCTGTGGGTGTGTTAAAGTCCCTTGGGATTATTATGATTTAGTGTTAGCTGCTACTTACAGTGAGCTTCCACTCCATCAGTTTCACCAGCTCTGACAGAGTGACATGTTTGTCAGGTCGACTTGAAATGAGTGTAGGCAGCTCCTCTTGATACCTGACCACAGACACACACAGATTAGCGCCAGTTACCTCTAATCTTATACTCAAAGCAAGGTCTGCCTAACTCAGTTCCTATAACACTTTTCATATGCAGGGATACCATAGCTACTTTTTTTGGATCTACATTCATAAAATATACACACTGTCAACCTATTGTACAAGTCAAGAGATCTGACAAAACAATCCCAACTTAAGGTCCACTTACTAGCTTTTTCAAGATTTTTCAACTTTATCAAGTAGTCTTCATCAACAGATGAAGTTTTCATAAGAGAAATTGGATAAGAATTACTAAAAGTGCAGTAATTAAATCATACAGCTACTGATCTGCAATGTCAACAAACCATTTCCAAGAGAATTGAGCAAATCCTCTCCAAGGATGAAGACACTGTGATACAGTTCAAAGCTCTGTAAAAAGCAAGTAAGTGGCGCTTTGAGTTGGGATTGTTTTACCTAACTGTCACTTCCATGGTCAAGAATAAACTCTGATGCTAAGATCAAGACACGGCTCAAAGAGAAATCAATTCTATAACATACTGGAACCAGCAGATTAAACAGATTTTCTACACAGTGTAAAATTAACCTACATTTCTCCCTTATCCAGTGAAATTGAGTATGATTTTGTAACTGTTGCCTTGAGGAAAAAAGGATTTACCACTTGTCAAGGTCCAGCAACTTTCCAGGTTTCTTGCCTTTGGCCTTGGCCTCCACTACATCCCAGTATTTCCCATACACACTGCTCATTGTGGCTGGGTCCTCACAGGCAAACAGAGTACTCATGACAGCAGAGAGCTCACACCATCACCTACAAACAGGAACAAAATCTAAATGCACTTGACTCTATTTTACAGGAGTGGACTACAGCACCATGCCATCAAACATGTATTATTTTCGTTTGAAGGACACCTAAAACAAAACAAAAACCTGCAGTGGCCGTTAATCTCCAGTAAACTCTTGTTGAATTGTAGTAATGTGACGGTGTGGAGTGTTACCCTGTTAACGCTGTGCTTCCGTTATGACACGGAATTCTCGCGAGATGTTAGAGCATCGTACTACTTCCAGTGCCGCAAGCAGTGAGCAACAGTTTCAGAAGGTTTGTCCCTTGAAATACTTTGTTATTAACTTCGCATAGATACTGTTATCTGACAGGATACAATTTCTTAAATTTTCTGACATACTTGTGAAATTTGTGTCGCGCACGTTTCGTCTTTTACAAGCGTGCTCGGTAGCTAGGTTAGCCAGCTAGCATTAGCATCACATTCCAGTCATGTTTATGGTGCAAGTACACACTGTAACAGCGACAAGTGAACACCCTGGAGAAGTTACCTGATATTCTTAGCTCCCATTTAACCCTGTTTTGGAGTCAAATGAACCACCGCCAAAGCACGAAATCAAGGGTGGAAAGTAGGTAACGTCAGTGGATGGTGGTATTGATAGCCAATCTTAAAAGTGTTAATGCACATGGTACTTTTGTGAGTAGTCTCTCTCGCACACAATTGGGATCGCTCGTTTTGGCTTTCACAGGATTATCATATCTTCACGTGAGCACAAAGTAGCTATCAGCACGTGGTAGAAGGTGGTGGACAAACGAAACGGGGTAGACCGAGGTAAACAAACAACATGGACGTCTGACAGTATTTAAAACTTTAAATCACAATCTGTTTAAGGAATATAACACTAAAGCAAGAAACTGACTGTAAGCCATTATATGCTATTTTGGGACCCACTTGTAAACGAGATGATGCACCCCAAGGGGTTTATCCTGATATCCTGATATAATTTGACTATATGCAGCTAAATATTTCTCACTATATGTTGTTGCAAGCCATTTTCTGGTTTTATTCTACTAAGTGCAAATAATAGTTTGGTACATTATCAATGTTACATTTATAGTTTTAAAAAATACCCTCAGTTGAAGTGATTTACTATGTCAAAGTTTCAGTTTCAAGCCTGAGCAGTATGGCTACCTCAACACTTTGTTTTTCTCTGGTCACTGCTTACATACATTCTGCGGGACTGGAAATACATTTACAGATATTCTATTCAAGCTGTCATGAAGTGTTTCTGGCAGATAATTCTGATTAATTTCTTAAGTGAAGCTGGATAAAAAAAATACAAAATAATATTTATTTATCTTTTTATTCTCAACAGTTCTCAGTATTATATTCCAAGTCTCATATACAATATTTACATAACATATTTCATTACATATGTTTTAATATTTGTTTGTGATAGATATAACATATCTGTCCTTAAGTAAGATAGTATTATGCTGTGTGTTGCTCATATACCAATTTCTTAATAGCAAGTTGGCTCTCATGGGAGCAAATGAAGAGGACTCTGTGCTGCTGCAGACATTGACAAGGCCGGCGGTTCTTCACCAAGTGAGTTCTGCAGCCATTTAATTGTCTAAAATGTTCAAATAAATATAATCCTGTGCAATGATTTGTTTGTTACACAGGCCACCTCTCCTGTCCTTTCTGTACAAATCTAACATCTTCTTTTGCTAGAGTGCCACCTTCTGGTGGATTGTTGAACTGCCTTGAAATCCTTTTACATTTTGCTCCACAGTGCTGTAAAAGTAGCTAATTAGTTTGTAGTTCATCTGATGCATCTTGTTACTTTAATTGTGTCTGAGCTCTGGTAAATCATTCATGTCTTTAGGAACATGGAGAAGATGTCACGGGTTACCACAGCCCTCAGCAGCAGTGCCGTCAGTGGTCGAACTATGTTCTGCCACTTGGATGCGCCTGCCAACGCCATCAGCGTGTGCCGTGACGCCACGCAGGTGGTGGTAGCTGGCCGTAACATCTTCAAGATCTATGTGCTGGAAGAGGAGCAATTTGTGGAGAAGCTAAATCTACGTGTCGGCCGCAAACCCTCTCTCAACTTCAGCTGCGCAGATGTTATGTGGCACCAGATGGAGGAGAACCTGCTGGCCACGGCTGCCACCAATGGGGCGGTGGTTACCTGGAACCTGGGAAAGCCCTCCCGTAACAAGCAGGACCAGCTGTTTACTGAGCACAAACGCACTGTCAACAAGGTGTGCTTCCATCCCACAGAGGTTAACATGCTGCTAAGTGGCTCGCAAGATGGCTTCATGAAGTGCTTCGACCTGCGCAAGAAGGAGTCAGTCAGCACTTTCTCAGGTAGAATATGTGAATTATATAATTATGTAATAAGCATCAGTGTTTAACTATTCATTTCCTACAAATGAAATACAACTTCTGAGTGTTTTGTATGATATAAACTTTATCTCAATAAGTCTTTACTGTGTTGTTCACTTAAAACAGTTTTGCATTTGAATGCATATTTTCACTCAAAGTATTTTCCCTATGTTTGGAATTGTATGTAAAACTGTTTTAAGATTGAACAAGAAACAAAACCATTAATGTGTTATTGCTTAATATGTTGATTTTCCCACGTCTCCCTTTCTTCTAGGTCAGTCAGAGAGCGTAAGGGACGTCCAGTTCAGCATGAAGGATTATTTCACATTTGCTGCATCCTTTGAGAATGGCAACGTCCAGCTGTGGGACATCAGGCGGCCGGACCGCTACGAGCGAATGTTCACCGCCCATACTGGCCCTGTGTTCTGCTGCGACTGGCACCCCGATGACAGGTAAGAGTGAAAAAAGATGACTTGGATGACTCACAAAAACCAACTGAGAAATTGGTTTTCCTTTCTAAAAGTGTCTTGGGTCATACTGTATGTCCCTTGACATTAGTAGTGGGTTGTAATTATTGCCATCCATTAATGTCTTTGTCCCTTCATTTCCATTTTAGAGGATGGCTGGCCACTGGGGGAAGGGACAAGATGGTGAAAGTGTGGGACATGACCACTAACCGGGCCAAGGAGATCTATTGTGTCCAGACGATCGCCTCAGTGGCGCGGGTCAAGTGGCGACCTGAGAGGAAGTTTCATTTAGCCACCTGTTCCATGATGGTGGATCATAACATCTATGTGTGGGATGTCCGCAGACCTTTCATTCCCTTTGCCACCTTCGAGGAACACAAGGATGTGACCACTGGTATTGTGTGGCGCCACCAGCACGACCCTCATTTTCTGCTCTCTGGCTCTAAGGACAGCACACTCTACCAACACATGTTCAAAGACGCCACTCGCCCTGTGGACAAGGCCAACCCCGAGGGTCTGTGCTTTGGACTGTTTGGTGACTTGGCCTTTGCAGCCAAGGAGAGTCTCATTAGCAGTGATGCCAACAGAAAGCCTTACCCTGGGGGTGACCGCCGCTACCCCATCTTTTTCTTCAAGAAGCCCGACCCGACAGAACAGTTTGCCCACGTGTCCAGCGCCCTTAGCGTCTTTGAAACAGACCTGGACAGTAACCGCATGGACTGGTTTGTCAAGACAGCACAACTCTACCTCCTCAGTGGGAAGCCGTTTGCTGAGCTGTGTGATCACAATGCCAAGGTGGCCCGGGAGCTCAAAAGACCTCAGGTCAGCACAGGGACACATCTGTAGTTAGCACTGTTTTATTTTCCCAAATCTTCCAACTAGGTAAAGATGTTGTCAGTTTGAATTTAACTTTGACAGATTATGATTTAATATAATCGATAAATGAATTGCAAAACAGTGATTTCACATTACTTAAAAGTAATTAACTGCTTTAGGGCTGCAACTAACAATTATTTTCATTATCCATCATTAAAATGTCAGGAAAATGTATTAAAAAAAAAAAATGCCCCTCACAATTTCCCAAAGCCCATGTTGATGTCTTAAAATATCTTGGTTTGTCTGACCAAAAGAACAACATGTAAAGACATTCAGTACTTTCATAAAACACAAATACAAATATTTGCATTTGAGAATCTGGAAACAGCGAGTTTCTGAAATTTTAGCCTTAAAAAAGACTTAATGATAAATTGTTTACCAAAATTGTGGCTGCTTTTTTTTTTTTTTTTTTTTCATTTTTTGATTGACTAATGAATTCATCAACAAACTGCTTCACCTCTAAACTGCTTTTTACATTTGCACTAGACCTTACAATGACTATGCAAGGGTTAATAAACTTGTAGACTTATACCACATTACCATCAGGTATTTGGGCTCCACTTTAGGAAAAAGTTATGTGATTACAGTAAACCATCACTTTGTAACAGATTACTTCCAATTGTAGTGTGTAACAATCTAACTGTGTTCGCTGTGTATTTTTTTCTTGATTACAAAGGTTTCCACAACATGGACCATGTTGAGAATCATGTTCTCTGACCCAGCAAACCTCATGCCAGGTCCAAACCACAACCTCAGTAAACTGGGCACCTTACCTCTAATGAACAGGTAAATGATCTTTTCAGTGTGCTATTACAAAACAGTAATGCCAGTCATTTAGAGACTCACATCTAATGCTGAACTACATTATGCGTTCAGTTTCAGCATGAAGGAAATGGGTTCAGGGATGGGCACAGAGAGCAGACTGGAGCGTAGTAAAGGTGAGAGCAGGCAGGACAACATCCACTTGGAGCCTGGGAACACACACATCGGCAATAATAACGAAGGTGAGAGTGGCCATTAAAATTTGTAGAAGCCAATCTGGTTTTCCTTATGTTCTTTGTATAATATTCAAGACTTAAGAAGACATTTATTCAATTTCCCTTCAGAAAATGAGGAGACAGAAGGCAGTGAGGGCCAGGCTGAGTATATGTTCGGTGATGCCGAGTTAGATGACGATGACCTCTACTCTATGGAGCATGACAACCAAACAGGTCGGTCACAGCCCCGTCTCTGAGGAAACTAAAGAGTTGCTTACGTCTGTAAGTGCTATTTATAACTGCCTCCATACTCAGCGCTCTTTTGTCTAAAATTGTCTCTGCTCCTTTTGTCATAACAGAAGAGCAGGAGTACACGCTGCCCCAGGAGGCCTTCCAGCTACGCCACGAGATCATGGATAACCCTTCTGCCCCAGAGCACCTTCAACAGGACAAGGCCGACTCCCCGCATGTCAGCGGCAACGAGGCTGAAATCACTTGTCTGACACCCATCGAGTCCTTCTCACTCATCTCCATTTCCCAGCCACTGTTCAGCCCGCATCTACCTGCCAGCTTCTTCTGTCCCATTGTGCGGGAGATGCTGAGCTACTACGCCGAGCAGGGCGACGTGCAGATGGCCGTGTCTGTGCTTATCGTCTTGGGGGACCGGATCCGCAAAGAGATTGATGACCTCACCCAGGTCAGATAGAAAACATGGGTGCTTTTTAGAGTTTAGAGTCTTTTGTCGTCAGAGGCATTAATGAAGAAGCTTAGGCTATTCAGGGGAAAAAAGCTTGATAGTGTGCTTACAATACTTCCCTGAACAAATATAAAACGTTTTCAGTTTCATGTATTCGCACAGGCAGATTCATTTATAAACAGTTAAGAGATTCTTTAGGCCTTATGTATGACTGTAAGTTGTGCGTAGCTTACATGTCCACTGCTAAAACCCAAAGTGTTAAAATTAGTTAGGACCCTGCAGTTTGGAAGACCTAAGCAGACTCTGAACAAGATGTTTCCATTTCAGGAGCACTGGTACATGTCCTACATAGACCTGCTGCAGCGATTTGAGTTGTGGAACGTGTCCAATGAGGTCATCAAGTTGAGTACGTGCAGCGCCATCACCTGCCTGAACCAGACTTCTACAACACTGCACATCAACTGTAGCAACTGCAAGCGGCCAATGAGCAACAGGGGCTGGATTTGTGACAGGTATGGACACTAGCATCACCATTTCATTTAAGAGAGCTACGCATTAACGTACGATTGTCAAACTGTTTGTAATAATTTTGTATAATTACCATAAGGCGGCCATCTCTTGCAGGTAAAATTTCATACAAACACTTGCTTTTGCATCAGTAAAGTTGTTTACTTTTCTTAAACTCTATCCAATTGTGTGGCGTTTGATGTAAAACAAACACAATTCTATATATACGTATCTCTCTAGGTGCCACCAGTGTGCCAGCGTGTGTGCAGTGTGCCACCATGTGGTGAAGGGACTGTTTGTGTGGTGTCAGGGCTGCAGCCACGGTGGACATCTGGAGCACATAATGAACTGGCTGAAGAGCAGCGCCCACTGCCCTGCTGGCTGCGGTCACCTGTGTGAGTACACCTGAGCTCATCGACAACCACTGTTGGCACAGCTGATGCTCTGTGGGAGCAGGAGTCAGTCCTCCGAATGGCCTGCATCACACAGACAGACAAACAAAACGTCTTCATTCCTCCACATGGACCTGGAATCTTTTGTCCCTGTGGAAAGAAGGACAGCTCTATGTGAGAGTGTGTGTGTGTGTGTGTGTGTGTTTGAAGCGAGATTAGACAAACGTCTGATCTATTGAGTCTGAAGGAGGAAGAGGTTTACATGTGCTCTCCTGGACAGCCATTCAAGAGCAAACGCAATCATGTGTGGATTCATATTTTTGTTTTGAAATGGTGATTTTGAACCATTGGTCTATTTGTATATAAGCAGATGTTACGATAGCAATAATCTAATCAAATTTTTTTTTTTTTTTGTGAATTCACACTTTTACGTTGTTTTTAAACCCCTCAGCAAACCTGAAGGCTGTACAGAAAGAATCGTCTACTCATCTTAAATGGATTGTTAATGTTTGTACATAATGCTTATGTTATTACGTATTTTGAAGGACTGTTTATAATGTTGTATTCATTTTACATGAGAAATAGCACTCTATTCAACCAATACATATTGAATTGACACTTGAAGTTGTCCTGGACCAGTGCAGTCTGTTTTGTCATATATTCACACTTGGCAGCTGCCCAGTTGAGTGTTGCTCGAGGGCACCTTAGTGAAAAGAAAGAACACCCAACCACACTTACTTCTCATGGGCCCAGAAATCCCAACTGGTGACCTGGCAACACCTCTAGCCTGTAGTCCAGCACCTATACACAATTGTGTGCTGCTTATCACAGTTTGTATAGCTCAGTATGAGCATAAGTAAATGGTCACTGAGAGATGGAGAAGATTTTATCAGTCCAGTCTCAACTCTTTACACTGGTTGTGTTTATTTGGGCACATTTATGTTCTGGACGCCACTCAGCATCACAAGTGTTTGTCTTCCACTCCTGTTTGCAATCAAGTGTGAATGAACAGCAGAGGATCCGTTTAGATGATAGTCCTCTGCCCCCTGGCCCTATTATCTGTTAATTCAGCTACTTTTAATGACACATAAGCACCCTGTATCCTGGCACACAAAACAAGAAAGCGTTCACAGATCATAATGCGTACGAAATAAAATATAACCCTACAAAGCAGTGCAGCCATATGATGTGTGTGCTTTGAACATTTCAGAACACAAGCGACCTTGTCTTTTGCACAATTTTGAATGGGGCACAAGCTAAAATGCAAATTTGAACAGTTGCACATGTGGCCAGTAAACAGGATTACAAAGAAAATATTTTGTCAAACGGTGCAGGCCTGAGGCTGTTCTATCTGGATCAGATGCTAAAGCTAAACGTATCCAACATCCATATCACGCCAAGGTTGTTGCTGAGCAGCTGAGCGATGTCATCACATCGATTTACCACCAAAGCCCCGGGCAGAGGAATTTCACATGTACTTTGTACGAGGACATCAGTCAGTTGGTCAGGAGGGGAATCCCCGACCCCAAGGCTCAGTCTCCACAGAACAGCCCAGCAATGTTGGCAAATTAAATATTAACCACTTTAATACAGCCCCCCAATTAGATCAAACAACTGGACAGGCACTGGAGTGTCAGGGAATCAAGTCCAGGAGTGAAGACCAGCAATTTTCAGTGTTCGTTAAAAAGATTTTTTTATAGTTGGTTAATGTCCCAATATATTCCACACATCTGCTTAACTAATGCAGTGGGCAACATACATAAGGAATAAGAGAAATCCCTTAGTCCAAACTTTATACAAGATTTTATTTCTTGGATTCTGAATTCATCTCAGCACCACAAATTAACACAAAGTCATGAAGCGGGACATTTTTACGGGGTTCCAAATCACAGAAATGGTTCCTGGTCACCTCTCTGACTAGAACATACAGTGAGGAAAATAAGTATTTGAACACCCTGCTATTTTGCAAGTTCTCCCACTTAGAAATCATGGAGGGGTCTGAAATTGTCATCGTAGGTGCATGTCCACTGTGAGAGACATAATCTACAAAAAAAAAAAACTATTCATTTACAACTATTTATTTGTATGATACAGCTGCAAATAAGGATTTGAATACCTGAGAAAATCAATGTTAATATTTGGTACAGTAGCCTTTGTTTGCAATTACAGAGGTCAAACCTTTCCTGTAGTTTTTCACCAGGTTTGCACACACTGCAGGAGGGATTTTGGCCCACTCCTCCACACAGATCTTCTCTAGATCAGTCAGGTTTCTGGGCTGTCGCTGAGAAACACGGAGTTTGAGCTCCCTCCAGAGATTCTCTATTGGGTTTAGGTCTGGAGACTGGCTAGGCCACGCCAGAACCTTGATATGCTTCTTACAGAGCCACTCCTTGGTTATCCTGGCTGTGTGCTTTGGGTCATTGTCATGTTGGAAGACCCGGCCTCGACCCATCTTCAATGCTCTAACTGAGGGAAGGAGGTTGTTCCCCAAAATCTCGCAATACATGGCCCCGGTCATCCTCTCCTTAATACAGTGCAGTCGCCCTGTCCCATGTGCAGAAAAACACCCCCAAAGCATGATGCTACCACCCCCATGCTTCACAGTAGGGATGGTGTTCTTGGGATGGTGCTCATCATTCTTCTTCCTCCAAACACGGTTAGTGGAATTATGACCAAAAAGTTCTATTTTGGTCTCATCTGACCACATGACTTTCTCCCATGACTCCTCTGGATCATCCAAATGGTCATTGGCAAACTGAAGACGGGCCTTGACGTGCTGGTTTAAGCAGGGGAACCTTCCGTGCCATGCGTGATTTCAAACCATGACGTCTTAGTGTATTACCAACAGTAACCTTGGAAACGGTGGTCCCAGCTCTTTTCAGGTCATTGACCAGCTCCTCCCGTGTAGTTCTGGGCTGATTTCTCACCTTTCTTAGGATCATTGAGACCCCACGAGGTGAGATCTTGCATGGAGCCCCAGTCTGAGGGAGATTGACAGTCATGTTTAGCTTCTTCCATTTTCTAATGATTGCTCCAACAGTGGACCTTTTTTCACCAAGCTGCTTGGCAATTTCCCCGTAGCCCTTTCCAGCCTTGTGGAGGTGTACAATTTTGTCTCTAGTGTCTTTGGACAGCTCTTTGGTCTTGGCCATGTTAGTAGTTGGATTCTTACTGATTGTATGGGCTGGACAGGTGTCTTTATGCAGCTAACGACCTCAAACAGGTGCATCTAATTTAGGATAATAAATGGAGTGGAGGTGGACATTTTGAAGGCAGACTAACAGGTCTTTGAGAGTCAGAATTCTAGCTGATAGACAGGTGTTCAAATACTTATTTGCAGCTGTATCATACAAATAAATAGTTAAAAAATCATACATTGTGATTTCTGGATTTTTTTTTTAGATTATGTCTCTCACAGTGGACATGCACCTACAATGACAATTTCAGACCCCTCCATGATTTCTAAGTGGGAGAACTTGCAAAATAGCAGGGTGTTCAAATACTTATTTTCCTCACTGTATAGCATTAGAGAAACAACTCTTTCCACTCTTTATTATTTATGTTCTAAAGTTGTCCATTTTACTGCTAACTTGAACTCTGACATTGTTTATACAACTGATCGTGCACTCTCTTCTAAAAAGACGATACTGCTGTTGGTTATTTTCTTTTTGGCTCATTGTCTACCTCAACACTTGGCTTTTCACCCGTGTCTGCTTACATACATTCTGCGGGACTTGAAATACATTTACAGATATTCTATTCAAGCTGTCATTAAGTGTTCCTGGCAGATAATTCTGATTAATTTAGTAAGTGAAGCTGGATAAAAAATACAATATAATATTTATTTATCATTTCATTCTCAACTCTGTATCTGTGTATGCAAAAGTTTACACAGATTTACAGAACAATGGATTGATAAAGACTTTCCCTGTAACATAATGTGTGGATGAAAAAGATTTACTGACACTGACTGTTTTGCACATTTCTCTCATCGTTGTTCTTAAGCTCTTAAAAATGCATTCAGCAGGACATTTAAGTCACCTAAAAACAGCATACAAAGAACAGCAGAACTAATCATTTTAACTTAGACTACTTTTATGAAATATACCTCTTCCTCTTAGTTGGTGGCATGAACATATTTTAAACCATATTTCATACAGGAAGAGAGCATGTTGGTTTAGAAACTTTTCACAGTATTACAGCCTCTGATCCACGGTCAGTCCCTCCTCCTCTCTGTGCATTCTCACAACCCAACTACAGGAGTCCAGTATACACCAGCACAAGCGTGTGAGGGCCAGGTACCCTTCATGCCGGTTTGTCATTTCCCAGCAGTAGCTGCAGTTGCCCTTGGCCTTGTCCACATCTGGCGAGCCCTGGTCCATCAGCCGATCCCAGAGGAGCAGCAGGTCAGCTGCTTCACTCCCCGAGCTGCTCCAGTGCGGCAGGGCCGGCCTTGTCTTTGGCCTTCTCCCATTTCAGTGAGATTGTTCAGGGTGGTTAGATCACCCTCCGTCAAATATCGGCAAAATGGCCTCTTTAAATATAAGAAACAAAAGTTATTTTCTCATCCAGCAAGTGTTGTGTTTATCCAATGAGTTTGTTGTGAGTACTCACCTGTGAAGGTTTAAGGCAGTTCCCAGTTATCTGAGACTTTTTCAGTGGCACTCAGTCGCCTCAGGCTCTGAAGCACGGTTTGCAGGGTCCCCGCTGTGATGATGAAACAAGCAGACTTCAACATTAGACTCCTGATGATACAACACCCCTTTAATCACTGGGCATTACGCCATCTTACCCAGTTCTTCTTCATGGGAATCCAGCTTCTTGATTAGCTCTACAACACTGGAGTGTGTCAGGTCCTCCCCAGCTGCAAGGAGTAAAGTAAAATCATGTACTTTTTTCTTTTTAAAATCACTAAATGTCAAAAAGGTGCTAACCAGCACCAGATACCTAAACTCACCTTTAACACCAATATCACCTTTAGTTTTGTCTTCCAAGCCAGTATAAGAGCTGCTATTCCCATCATTATTGAGACGGGAGAGCAGTTCAGCGTGGCAGGCCCTGGATGCTGCCAGTATGGCGCTCATGTCCTGCGCCAGCCGGTGGTTCTCCACCAGTTCAGCATGAACCCTCCTCCATGCCATCTTGTCCTCCATCAGACATCCCTCCATCACAGTACGTAGTTCCTTCTCCTGAGACACCTGGCTCTGCAGGCTCTCCACCTCCTCACAGCGCTACGCAAGTTAGTTAAATGTAGGAGAAAGGTTATGAGTTCAGTTAAGAAAAGTCAGAAATATAAAATATTTGTATGGCAGTGAGTATTTATTTTGTAGTTACCTTGTGTAGCTGAATGGCCATCTCCTGCATCTCAGCCTCAAGCTGGTCAGCGTAAGCCTGTTCCAGAGCATCGCTGGGCGGTCGAGCACTGCTGTGCCATCTTGCAATAGCTGAGGTCATCTTACGCTTGGGTCCAAACAATCTGGACAGCAAGAACGGATTCAACATTGTATACCACAAGAAAACAAACTCTGTACGTGCTAGGGCAAAGGGGAAAGAGGGGCCCTCAAGTGTCTTACGTGATCCCTATTTCTTTTAGATCGTTTTCAGTCAGGGTGAGAAATATCCGCAGGTCAATGTCTTGCTCCTCGAGTAAGGGGAGATACTTAGAAAAGCCAAGTTGTTCCAAGAACTCTGCCAGATCCTAAAGGAATAGAAGATTTTCCAGAATAAACTGACCATGAGTCACACACACCTCATTATAGTTCATATATTACTGATGCATCAAAAAGTGAGCAAACATAGACATGCCTTTGGACCAGTGTAGGAAGGTGGAAGACCAACATGTGGCCGCATCCCACAGTTCATTGTACCAGTGGAGTGAGCAGCATTGTTGCCTCCATGGCGACTCTTGCCTTTTGAGTGATGGCCCTTATTTACTCTGCGAGAGCTGCTCTTTTTGCTCTGGTCGGAGTCCTGGTAGAGAAAGGAACACGGTGTTACTACGATATCTAAATCAAATCTGGTGTTTGACTCCAAAACAGTGGGATTTCTGTGCTCTTGCGTTCACCTCGTTACTCTCCACAGAGCCTTCCCAGTTGAGGCCAATCACATGAGGCAGACCCTCGCTGCTGCTGCTGCTACTCCTCATGGTGGGCATGTCATTGTCAAAGAATGGACTGTCATCTGTGACAGAAACATATTAAAGGTAATTGCTTTGGCAGTGCAGTGCAGTATTTCTTGCGGTACACTTCTTCCAAAGACACGTGCAACTATTTCAGTTATGTATCTTAGATATCACACTGGTAATCGTGTGCCTCTGACCTCTGCTGCTATTGCTCTGGCCGTCAAGCTCATTGATGGGTGAGGTCACGTCACGGTAGCAGATGCCCCCACTCTGTTCACCAACATCACGAAACGCCACGTAGCCTGGTGGCACTGCAGGAGGCTCTGGGAGGAGAAAAGCAGTTTTAATAAACCCACATCTATAATATTGAATGGCAGCATGCCAGTGACTGAATGAAGCTGTCTGCTTAATTTCAGTTATAGTGTCTCTGTAACAATGTCTGTGATGAAATCTCAATATACAGCACTCAAGGAACAAAAATCCACTGCACACAAAATGGTGCTCATGGTCAATCATCCTCCTTACTGCACAAGCTGATTATAGTTCCTTTTTTAGGAACTTTGTGTTATTTCATTTAACAACTACAACCACTACACTCTTAACGGGGTGATCGAAAAGTGGGCAGACTGGATGTCTTATGTGACACTACCACACAGTTTGTTGGAGCCTCCTACTCGGAACTTGGCGATGGCCTGGGGCCCATCATGGATGCTAACGCCTTTTACTCGGTTTCGACTCGGCCTTATCCTCAGAGGTGCGCTGTCCGAGTCCTCGGAGGAGCTCAGGTCTTCAAAATGTCCTGATAAGTTGAAAAACACACACAAACACACACTTAATCAGAAAATAAAATACATAGAAGGGATAACAACATATTTTGTGAAAATAAATCAGAATCAGCTTTATTTGCCAGGACATACGAGGAATTTGACTCTGGATTGTACATTGCTCACGATGTGCTTACTTACAATACAATAATAAAATCATGCACAGGCTACAGTATAGAGAACACATATATACACACACTATAAACAAAAGCCACATGATGAGTAGTAAAGCTGTTACAACAAGTACCCGGTTTGATCCTTGGAGTACGTAAGTCAATGAGGCTGACAATCTTGGTATATCCATACATCATGGCTAGGGCACGGGCAGTCTCTCCTTTAGCATTGCGGTCATCTACTTTAACTTTCTGTAAATGATTAAAACAAAACAGATGTCAGGATCATAAGGCATACCTCTGCTTGAGCACAACAAGCAGCTTCTTCTTTGTGATAATTGGTCGGCCAATTATACGGCCGATATCTGCACTCACAAGGCCGATATATCATCCGAGTGACAGCAAATCTATTCTAAAACCATTACTGGCTAGTAGGGCTGTCCGCGACTAAAGATTTACATAGTCGAATCAGAATCGTCAAATCCTGCCTATAGTCAACTGACAGTCCAATCATGTGGGTTTTTGTGCGTGGCTCAACCCAGGGTTAGGGTTACAATTTTGGAATTTTTCACGCACTTCAAAAAAAATGTATTTAAAGTTTTATTCTTTTTACATGTTTATTTACAGCATTAAACGTTGAAATGTATATTGTAATAGGCTGTATATTAACTTATTGGGAGAAAACTGGTAGTTCTATGTAAAATCAGACGTTGAGCACCCCCATATAGCCAAAATGGCATGATCCTTGTGTTGCTGCGAAGCTTCGACTGTGAGATTGACAGTCGAATCAGGCTCCGCCCATCGAAGCATCGAATCTTCGACTATTCGGAGTCAGCCCTACTGGCTAGTGTTAAATATATATTGTTATACTGTAGAGAATAATGCAGTTGAAAGATGCCACTACTGACCAACTGCAGAGCGGCCCTGTCTAAATATTGGCAACGGCCATTGAAAAACCCATGTTGGTCGACCTCTAGCGCACATGTTTCCTGGTGCTGAAGCGCTGTCTTTGAGAGAATGTGTGTGGACAGAAATCCCCTCACATGATCAAGCAGGAACTGAACAATGATTTCATGTCTAGAAGCAGCCGCCTCCATCAGGGGAGTGAAACCAGATCCTGGCTCCCTGTGGATGAAAGAAAAAGTAATGAAAACCTCTGTCTGAATGAAGTGTCGCAGTAGTTTTGGGATGAATGAAGACACTCACTTGACATTGGCATCAGCGTTATTATCCAGCAGGAACTTGACCATCTGCTGATGGCCTGTGCTCGTGCAGTGGAACAGAGCGGTCCAGCCTCGAGAGTCCTTCAGCTCCAACTCAGCACCTTGCTTTAGGGGTAAGAAAAATAAAAAGCCTTTCATGCACTGAGTAACAAAGTGATAAAATATAGGACCATAAATACCTCATCAAGAAAATAACAAAAGCCATCTTCTTCCATCTTTGTGATGATGAAAACCTGTATCTGTAGTTTGACTTGTATTCACTATTAAGGACATTGTTGGATGTCGGAGACATAGTTGTTGGCCAGCCTTTCATCTTATGAATTTGTTTAATCCAGATTTGTTTTGTGTTTTTCAGCGTTCTAATATATTCAGTTAATACAAAATACAGCTGCTGCAACAATAAAGTCCATTCTGCCATGTTTATTAGCCCTTACCATCGCTTACCATCATTACCAGCAAGTGGCCTTCACTTACAAGATGCTGGACATTAATCTTTTAGTCCTTTAACAATAAATCACATTAGCTTTACATTACTGTACATACAGTTTATCCTACATTCCAGGCAGCATTTGTTTTTTCATTTCACAGTATGAAAATAAATTTACAAACACTTGAAACTTATTTTTGCATGACAAAACTACAGCCTTCTGCATTTACACTTTGTCTTGAGTTTCCAACCACTTTTATGAATGTAATGTGGCAACAAACTATCCAGTCACTCTGCACACTCTGCATGGTGTCTGTGAAGTGTGACCATGTTGTGTGGGGATTTTGCATTCAAAAATAAAAACTTATCAGCACACATGTTCTGCTTTGATTTCTGAACACAGCAACATGTCATGAACTGTTATGGTCAGAGCCGTTTTGTACCTGCAGCAGAAAGTATGCGATACTTTCATTCCCGCAGCTTGCTGCCAGCATCAAGGGGGTTAATCCTTTGGCAGTGGTAGCATTTACATTCACACCGGCCTCCAGCAGGAGATTTGCAATGTTGTCATGGCCTATGTAAGATGCATACATCAGTGGGGTCCATCCTCCAATGTTCTTGCCATCCAGGTCCACCTCACGTCTAAAAGAGAATATCATAGTCATCAAAACGCACAGGGAAATGTGCCACAAAAGCTGTGGATGAAAGGAACACATCTGATTATACTATAATTTAGGGGCCCACTTTCTGATGCACTCTGCCACCACGTCGTACTGGCCGATGGAGCAGGCGGTGTGGAGGTCCAAGGGGACGTCCAGCTCCTCCGGTCGCACCAGGGTGTCACCCAGCCACAGGGAGAGGCTGGCACCCAGTTGCTCTGATTCACTAGCTTCGTCACTAAGCTCAGACATTTTCAGCTTCTTCACTCGCCTGAAAACAGAGGAGGGATGAAACGTCCAGCACACTGAAGCCCTGAATTCACACTTAGAAAAGACACGTTGAATATCAGACAGCGAAAGACGTTAAATGTTGCGGGGTTTAGCTTGTGATAAACATACACAGAATGCCAAATAATACTAGCTTCTGGCTTGTAGTTACTTTGAGGTGCTGACTTATATCTTTACCAGCTATAACTCCGAACTTTGCTCGTTTAGCTAGCTCAACGTTAGCTTGGCGAGATAACGTTAGCCCGGTATGAACTATTTAATTAGTTACCTAATAAGTAATAAATAAAGGCAATCCTCAAAACGGTCAAACGACAACCTAAATGAACTAATATTTCACAATGTAGCCGAATGTCAAGAGTTAAAAACGCACAGTCAACAGGTAACTTACTGTAAGTTTGTTTCTTTCAACGGCTGAAACTTTTTTTGTTTTGTGTGTCACGCTCAATTGTGCTCGTGTTGAACCATACCCCGCCTTTTCCTATTGCCTTGCCCTGTAGGTTTGGTATTTGAGTTCGTACGTGCCAACGAATGTTATGTTTTTATGAAATCTGAGGGGTTGGCAGATCAGGGAAAGGAAAGGAAAGGAAATCTTTTGGGGGGTTTTATCTCTGTACCTGAAATAACGGATACTCGCCTCCCTACTCCCCTAGAATTATTCACCCTTATCCTCCTTCATCCAAATGAAACAATCCGAGAACAAAAACATTTTATTTCAGAATATGAATTATTCTCACGTTCTGCTGTTTTGGTGAATACCAATAAACACAGTAAAATATTTAAGTTTTTATTTTTTTAAACTACTTAGTACTACAAAAGTAGAGATAAACGGACAATAAAAATAGTATGTACAAAATATCTGTTTTTAGAATGAAAGAGCTGTAGAGTTTGTGCAGGGATGTGTGAAATAGCACAGTATGAAGGATATGGAATAAGAAATAAGTGCAATATACAGAGATAATAGTCCAAAAGATGTGCGTTTGTGCAATAACGTTACATGAAGACAGATGTGGAGAATAACCCTAATGTAATGTGTAATGTATGTTGTCTGTGGGGTGGCATCAGAGTCCGTGTCAAGTTCCACTTGTTGTTGATGAGGAGAGCTGCAGATGGAAGACACTGTTTTTGTGGGTTGAGATTTTGGTCCTGATGGATCACAGCCTCTTGGCAGACGGGAGTGTCTCAAACAGTTTATGTCTAGGGTGGGAAGGGTCAGCCACAACTTTCCTGCTCACCTCAGAGTCCTGGAGCGCTACAGGTCCTGGAGCGATGTCAGATTGCAGCCAATCACTTTCTCTGCAGAATGATAAGCTGCAGACTGCCCTTGTGCTTGACAGTGGCAGCAGCATACCAGATTGTGATGGAGAAGGTGAGGATGGACTCAGTGTAGGCGGTGTAGATGTGCTCCAGGCAGGTAATAAAATAAACTTGAAACTTCACTATAGTGTCAGAGGAGAAGGGAGTGAAGAGGACTAGACTAAACACACAGCCCTGCAGTGCACCTGTGTTCAGGATGAGGGTCAAGGATGTGTGGTTTCCCATTCTGACATTTTGTGTTCTGTTTGTGAGGAAGTCCATAATCCATAAACAGAGTGAAGTGGCTTATCTTAGGTTGCTGACTTTGTCTACCAGTTAATGGGGCGTTATAGTATTGAAAGCGGAGCTAAAGTCAACAAATAGCATCCTGACATATGTATTTGGATGCTCCAGGTGGAGCAAAACATGCAGCGTGATTTCCTCAACTAGCACATGTATTCGTGAGGTGAAATTATGAAACGATGACCTATTCAAATTCAGACTGCCGCTTACTTACTGTAGCCTTAAAGGTTTGAGAGGTGTAAAAGCATAATGAATGTAAGGCAGTTCATAATTTACAGAAATAATTGCCAAGCAACCTTTTAAAAAATGACTGTGGCTAACTGATAAGTTCAGCGATCACCAAAAGTTTATTTTACAACCTGCGCTGACATAAAAACACACACCAGTGGATTGATCTGACCTCAGTGTAGTGGCTGCTAATGAGGAAAACTAAACACAATTCATGCTATATAAGTATGGTTAAAGCCTCTGCAAAAACTTTCACAACTTGTGCTTTAATTATGACTGGTTTGTAATAATTTTACACATCCATATTAAAGAAAATACAATGCAAACAAAAATACAAAATGCTTTATTTAGAAATATGGCAAACACAGTCAGCAATTCAAGACTTTGAATATTAGCATTGTGATTTTAAGTGTCCCCTTGTTTTGTGTGCTTTTAATTGTTTCAGTCACAAAGAATGTCCGGCACACAGCTCAGACCAGACTGTCCAGCCATTGTCACAACATAATATATGATGAAAACGTGTCTTCAGGGTAGAAATCAGAGAAAATTGAAGCGAAACTCCTCCTTTGATGGAGTAAAGACAAAAGCTGACGTCTCCTCCTGAGTCTGTGTCGGGTCTGTAACCTGGGCTTTAGTTTGTTGTGGGTTCTCCTCAGTGGCTGGGGTCTGGGTTTTGACTCCAGCTCTCCGGTGGAAAACACACTTCTTTGGAGAATCTGACACAACTTTGACCTGAGCTGATGCAATTTCTGTTGGGAATGAAGAAACCAGTCAATTAAAAGGCCACACTTAAAAGGTTATTTCACAGTTCCACAGATGGACCTTTTTTTAAGCATGAGCAACTTTTACTGTTCAGATCACTCTACTGCTACAATCCACTCACCGCACTGCATGAGTTTGTACTGCTTGCTCTTCTCTTCTTCCATTTTTTTCCTGTAATCTCCTGTCATGGCTCTCATCACCTGCCTCTTCTTGGCCAGAGGAGCTTTGGAGCTTCGTAGAGTCTTCAGGGCACGAGAGGCTTCCTCCTCTGTAGGGAGAAAATATTCAGGGTGTCACACCTCAAAGCAATTCAGTATCTGGACCTAGACACCTTTTCCAACTGGTATTAACATGGGTGCTGTGTCTGGATACATGTTAGTACCAAGTGTGAACAGATGATGTGTAGGTAAACATCATACTCTGTTTTGGTGTACCCTTCGGGGACCTCATTCCCAGTTCCAGCTGCTCGATGCACCAGTCCAGCTGCCTGTTCAGCTGCTCCTCTGCACTCTGAAAGACAGTGAGACACCAAATCACCTAAGTAACCAGGACCCACCATGATTATTCTAAAGGAAAACTTTTCACACTGACCGGCTCTGTGTCCTCGCCTCCTTGACCCACCTCAGCCAAACTTGGCTTCTCCTGTGGGTCGGTACTAGCTGAGGGTTTTTTCTTTTCAGATTTCTTCTTCTTGGATTTTGATTGCACTGACGGTTCAGGTGGAGAGTTAACCTCCTGCAGCGGGGAGGGCTTGTCCTCTTGGTCACACTGTTGGCTGCCTGGTGAAGAGGTGCCTGGGGTTTCTGTCGTCTCCATGTTTTCTACAGGTGTAACACCAAAAGGAATTTGAAAGTTGAAGGCAAAAGCAGAGCCCTGTCCGGTAAAGGATGCCCGGCGCACTGCTGGTTCAGTCCTGTCTGATGATGGAGATGTTTCATCCAGAGGTGCCGGAGAGTTGTCAGGGAGGAAGTTAAATCTGAATGTGTTATCGCTGCGAGTCCAGAGAGGCTTCTCAGCTCTGCCAGAGCTTTCTGATTTAGGTTCAATATCTGTTGAATGAACATACACACAAATATTAGTATCACACAACATTTGGAGGCATTGCATTGACTGTATTAATTACCTCAATGCTTATTCTAACTTTAATTGTAACAGATACAGACACATCTATAACATAACCTAACATCAATTAAAACATTAATTGACAATACTGAATCGCAGCAGGTGGGGGATTTTTTCAAACAAACTCTCAAATTTAAAATTTAAATCCACACTTTGCATGAAACAAGGCTCTAATGCAAAATATATTTATTAGCTTATGCTGCGTAGGGCTTGTTATTAAATCAAAATGTACCTATAAACAGCAGTCTTTGCTCGGTCATGCTGATTCTCCCAGCGTTGCAGGTTTTCAGCTGATCGCCGCCTGTTAGACTGAACGATTTAACTCGACGCTTCAGGAAGTCAGACACGCTCAGCAGAGCAGGTACAAGTTTTAGCCAGCATTTTTATTTTTTACTCTTCTATTTTCTTGGTTTGGTGTGCTGTGGTCAGGTCGTGAGCAGAAACTTACCCCCGTTGTCGCCTGAGAATAAGTCCGTCTGGTAATATTTCCCCAACGCTTGTCGTTCCGCTTGGTGGTGTTTTTTTTCGTGACCCAGTTGGTTGAGTGAGTGGTTTGAGCTTGATAGACACAGAACTTGTCCATTTGTGTTCATAGGCCTATATATATATATATATATATATATATATATATATATATATATTTTTTTTTTACCATGACCAGATAAAAATAAATACGCAGACCTTGCAGACTGATCTGATGTATTTCATAGATGACAAATAAAAGAAGCAAATATGGTCACTCACCACAGATTAACTTGCAAATAAATGTCAAAATAAGGTTTCATTTATACCTATAGAAAACTAAGCTTCCATTGCCTGAAAGATCCACCACAAAAACATATTATGAAAAATTATGAAAATATAAAAACAGGTGTAAGCAAAATAAAGAGGACAACAATAAACAAGACGCACAAAGGCTGTAATCACTGTATGCTAATAAAGCTGGCTTGAGGGTCATTTTATAGACAATGAAACAAGCTGAACTGGGTGATCTTGAAACCCTCTTCTTTAAACACAAATGATCAGGCTGTTTGTGTCGTATAGGCCTGTTGCCTGATGCTTAACCAGATCCCAGGACTATCAGGGGTGTCCCCTAAAGTTGAGCTAAGAAAGCACTGAGGACACCCTCCATATAATAACAGAATGATCCATCCAGGTCCTGTCAGCAGAAACACAATGCTGGATTTGTTTGTGGTGCTCAGAGGGATTTAAAAAGTATGTCTTTTTCTTTTTCTTTAGTTAAAGCAGTCTCTGAAGCAGTTCTTTGGTCTGCAGTGAGATTATTTTTGCCTTTTTTTAGATTTCAGAATATAGACAAATGTAATTGTAAGGACACCTAAAACAGCTGGCTTGTGCCAAACACTGAAGGTATGTAAGCCCAACTACGCCCCAAATAAAATATCCCCTTTGTTAATAGAGTCTAACTTATTCTTCATCACCTGCCATTGACCACATCCCCCCATCCAGGGATTTCTAGAGATAATTTCAGTGATGATCCAGTTGGCCATACACTAATATGTTCCTCTGTGCGAAGTCTGACTTTAAAGATGTGCAGTCTGTGGCCATAATTTATCCATGAAATCATCTATTACATGTGTAGAAATTATGACATATGACACATTTTATAGTATTGCCATTGAAAGTTTTTGTTTCTTTTGTGTTCTGTGGTGCTTTTCTTATGATTGATATTTTAACCACTGCTACCTAAACAGCAAAAAATGAAAAGCCTCAACACAAATAACAGCCTTCAATTTCGCCTGAAAACAAATGTTAAGCTATTTCAGACACAACACCACTTTTTTTTTTAACTTCACAACAATCTTGGTGTATTGATATGGCATCAAGTCAAAGAACTGGGACTACTTCTTATGTGTGCAAATATCAAAAGTTAACTGATGTTGACAGAGCGGGTCTGCCGCACCAGAACCGAGCGAAAAAACAACATAATGTTAAAACGATTTTCCAGGACATCGCAAGATTTCCCAGGACATTTTACTTTATCTCTCATTTACTGTGTTTTCCATGACTGTACAATTGGTCAACTGTTTTCCAGGTTTTCCAAGAGGCGTGGGGAACCCGGCATCCATTTAGTTATTAAAAATGAAGATAGGCCTACTTATTTCTACACATAGCATGTCCTCTGTGCATGTGGTCAGCATTGTTCTCTTTCGTTCCATTGAATTATAAACAAGGGTTTTGATCGGTGAGCACCGTATTTCAGAGATCATCTGATACATTCAAAGAAAGTAGAACCAAAAGCTAATGCCCAAACAAGAAGAAGCTGATTCAGGTCTATGAAATGTTGAAAACCATGTGAACAATTCAAAAGAAGACACTTCAAATGCAGAGGCAGTGACCCTGCCTCTTTCTTTCACCAATCACATTCCGTCAAGGATTTGCGTCTGGACCAATCCTGTAGGCTCAGAGGCGGGACTTGAAGTGCCGCTCATCTCACACTATAAATTGCTCCTGCTGCTCCCCCTTCGGTTAAAAGAGTCAACAGAAACGAAAGAAGAGGACACGGTCTTCCCAGCAAACAAACAAAAAGGTAAAGTATAAGAGTTTTCACTTTCAGTATTGTGTGTTTTCACAGTCAGTGTTCATGGTAATAAACGGTATGTTGTACTGTGGTTTTCAGATCATTAAGACACTTTAAAATACAGTTGGACGAGGGTTAACCGTGAGCCGAGTGACAACAAAACGGCGCGTTATCACGTTAGCCACTTGGCTAACCATTCACTACACTTGAGGTGCTCTGTACGAACTTCACTTACCAAGAAACCCGCGTTATTACAATTAAACGTACAACTAAGGCTTACTTCATTCGTCTTGTTTATCCGAGTGTCTCAGGTGGCAACACTCATAATTTTGTTGTAAACCTCTGGTGGCTAGCTGGCGCCATTTTGCAGCAATCCATGCTAGCTTTAAATTTGCTTGCAGAGAAACGTGTTTTTCCCCTGTAGCTTAATGGTGGCGAAGCGTTGAGCGTTTAATTAAATTAAAACTGGCGGTGTATGAACTGTTAACGGTATACACTAATGTTATCATATTAAAAAAACACGCCACTGACTTGACGAGTTCCCGCTAACGCTCTTTGTTTCTACTTTGAGAAACGTTAATGGTGAAACTGTATCATAACGTTACAATTATTAACGTTTGTTTTTAAGGGATGTGGATTAACTGAGTGTCAATGTAAACGCGACTACGGGCTGTAACCTTCACGTTACCTCGCAGCAGTTCAGTCCTGTAAATAATACCGGTGACAATAACATGCACTATGAAATTTAATTCCCTGTTTGCCTCATCTTTTTGTTTTCAAACACGTAGGTGAAGTATGGCTCGTACCAAGCAGACCGCTCGTAAATCCACTGGAGGAAAGGCGCCTAGGAAGCAACTGGCCACCAAGGCTGCCAGGAAAAGCGCGCCATCCACCGGCGGAGTGAAGAAGCCCCACAGATACAGGTACATGTTCAGGAGGGATCAGGTTTTCGGAGGTGGTACTAGCAAGGCTATTGTGATTTACTGTTGCTACAATGTGTAAAGATTGAGAAGCAACAAAACACTAATGTATTAAGTCTATGCTCTCAATTTGTAGTGTAATTGACATGTCTGGCTTGCATTGTAAAATGGCACATTTGTTGTAGGCCTGGTACTGTTGCTCTGAGAGAGATCCGTCGGTACCAAAAGTCCACTGAGCTGCTCATCAGGAAGCTGCCTTTCCAGCGCCTTGTCAGGGAAATCGCTCAGGATTTCAAGACAGACCTGCGTTTCCAGAGTGCAGCTATTGGTGCTCTGCAGGTGAGATGGAAGGTTTTTTTTTTTTGTTTGTTTTTCAACACTTTTTTTTTTGGATCAGTTCATTCAGAAAGTTATTTGCCTCGGTTTGTTTAAAAGTGTATACTTTCCCTTGTAGGAAGCCAGTGAGGCATACTTGGTTGGACTGTTTGAGGACACCAACCTGTGCGCTATTCACGCAAAGAGGGTTACCATCATGCCCAAGGATATCCAGCTGGCCAGGCGAATTAGAGGAGAGCGTGCATAAATTTTGATTTTATCTTTTTAGTGTGGGGATGTGTGGGACTGACTGGGGTTTGTTTTGTAAATCTTGAAACTATTACCAGCATGTGTACCGCCTAATTTGTCATTTGTAGTTTCAGGCATTTCTTTTTGTACTTTTTTTTTTCTCCATCTCACTCTTGACTTTCTGCTCCAGCTGTCCTATTCACAGTAGACTTGAGCTTCATATCTGTAAATGGTGAAAAACAATATTCCACTGCCTTTCTCAGGTTTGCAAATCTATTTTAGGATCTGTATCTTTTTATCCTGTGTGCATGTCATAGGATTTCTTGTGCTGTAAATAAACTTTCCGCTACCTCAAATTTTTGGCCTTAATTTGTTTTGTTGGGTTTTCTTTTTGACTTAATATCTGAATATACATGCTTTAGATAAGATCATTGGTCTACCACAAATTTAGTATTTCACTCAGATGTAACTTGCACAGCTCCTTTCCTGGCCTGTAAACGCCCATGCCATTATCCAGTCTTTAGTGGACTGTATAATGGCATGGAGATGAACAGTATCATGGGTATTAAACTAGTTTGTCATGTAAAATTCCCCCTACTTGAAACACCAGTCGGATGTTAATATTGCAGTTTGTCTATAGTAGATGAGAAACATGTCTGTACACTAGAAAGACTAGACTCAAATTCAGTGGCTCAAAGCATTTTAATCTGTTGTGATCAATTAAAACTTGACAAAAGGCATGTATGGTCAAGATTTCATTTTTGCTGGAATAACTTGGCTTCACTGTTACACCTTCAGAGCAATTAGTTTGTGCTACAGACACATCTGAAAATAAATACAGCCAGAAATATGTACATCTGAAGTCCCACATTTGTCAACTTTATTTATTTTGCTCCCCTTCATCTGAAAGCAAGCCGGGTAAGTGCTCATACAGGCCCTTGTTCAGCTTTGCATCAATGTCAGTCTCGTTTCTTAGTGCACACCACAGAAGGAAGCCAGAGGCCAACAGGCTGATGGGGAGGACCTTCCACCAGGGCCGCTCAAACTGGCTCCCCAAGGAGCGCTCAACTTTCCAGGTTCTGTGACTGGCTTTACTGGTGGAGAACTTGATGGGCTCATTGTTAACCTCTTCGCGGTCATCTGTGGATTTAGCTGACATCTGAGAGCTTAGAGCCAGGGGCCGCACACTGTTCAGGCTGCTGACAAAGAAGAACATACTGTTTAAACTGACTGACTTTCCCCATTTACTGAAGTGGTACTTGTACTTCACTTCAGTATTTGCATTATGGGGACTTCAGATATCAGTATAGTGTGTATTAGAAATGGTATCAGTGTACATAAAAACTACTATACAACAGTAAAATACTTCTTACACAATTCTATAACCTACTAATATAATCTGTGATAATGTAACATTAAAAGGGGCCTACCTGAAAAGTGAAGTTATACTCCTATTTAATACATTTTTAAACTTTAAATATTTTGCTGTTACTATGTCTGTACTTTTATTGAAGTAAAATGTAGGACTTCTACTTTTTTTATTTTACCTTTTAATTAAGTAAAGGAGCTGAATGAATACTTCCACTACTGGACTTGCTATGCTTGTCATCAGTGGATTTACAACTCACAAGGTTACTTTGAACAGGATTGCAGTTGAAACAAAAATAATTTCTATAGATGGGCCTGGTAAATAAACTGTGCCTATATATAGACCAATATTATCTTATAGATTGGTATCAGCCAATAAGTATTGAGGAATTGCAGCACAGATATGTATGAGGTAAAGTAGAAACAGTGTCTCCTTTTCAAATGTAAGATGTCACACTCAGAACATCAACAGTCCTTTTATAATCAAATTTGAAGGATAGTCATAATATCCTTATAGGAATAATACAATATATTACTGTTTAGATTTTTTAAAACTGAAATATCAATATTGATATCGGTCCGATCGATGTGACCCCTGTAGTTGACCAGGATGTTTACAGGACACAGTGATGATACCATATGGAGACAAATCCTGCAGCTGCTCCACTCACAGTGAATTCTTAAACAAATCTGCTGGCAGTGCCCACTATATTGTGAAATTAACTTCACCATGGGATGCAGTTAAAACATGATGCAATATATGCCAAGAACACAGAGAGTTATACATCACTGTCAGTAGGCAAACAGAAAAATGGGTAATATGGGTTGTATATTAACATGCAGTATTTAGGTAAACTTATACTGTGTTTAAGCTAGTATGGTCGTTACTTATGTCTATACTCTCCTCAGTACCTAAATATAATGAAATGAACAAGTTCCAACTGCTACAGGTGTCATAATGAAATATTACACAAGCTTTCAGATGCTGTAAGGATATAAAAGGGTAAAAGGTTGATCAAACAGTGAGAGAACGTTACATAATTGGATATCAAAATGTGTGACCCTAACTGAATTGTGACTGTGGGGTCAGATATTTTGGGTAACAGTAATCAAGCCATACCTAAATACAATGGAAGCGCCATTTGTGCTAACAGGCCCTGGCTATTAAAAGTGACCGTAATACAAATACACGCAGTGTCTTAAATTTCCATATTAGGTGACAAAATCTGTATGTCACAGAATTGAGTGTAACGCGTATTACAATCAAAACCTTGTCACTGAAGCGCACCAACACTGCAGAGTCTACTTGGTTCGTTCATCCTCACCTCACGGTCGAAGTGGCGTCGTGAATAAAAATCCCTCGACTGGAAGCAACGCGTCTCAGACCGGTGAAAACTCGTCCTGCTGCTGGAGACATGTCGGACAACTGGTCATCTTTTAAGACGCACGGCGTTAGGTAAAGGAAACTGGAGGTTTTTCTTATAAAACTCTCCTTTGTTAGGTCACACCGATGTGCAACCTGGAATGCCTTCCGTGCCGCTGTTGAACGCTGGTTTGGACGGTTCCGCTAAAATGTAAATGAACATCTGAAATCAGTCCTCAGAATGTGTCATGCTATCCCATTAAAATATTATTATTACTATGTTATACTGCTATTATTAATTTAATGTGAGGATTAAAAGTATTTTATTTATTTCCCTAAATACTGACGCTTAAAAAAAAGTAATGTCGTTTGACATGACAATTTTACTTTAGTGACTGCTCCGGTGTTTTCGATCATATAATCATACTACATGATCTTTAGTTGTAGAGTTTGCCCAATTGTCATGGAAATGTAAATGCTTTCCATTTTCTGTCACCTTCTAATGGGCTACGAGGTGAAACTGATTACTGATTACTAAAGTCAATAATGAACTCTGGACCTCATTTTCAAATCATGCTTTGGCTTGAGAAGCACATTACACCAATTACTGGTACAAGCTGCTTTATGTTTTTACGCTATAACTATATCCTGCATTAAATTCTACTATGTGTTTTAAATATGCGATATTATAGTATTAGCCTTTGTGTACTTACTATAAAATGTATAAATATTTCTAAACCCTTAACCATCATCATTTTCCAGATCGCATCACGTTTTTTGGTAGGATAAATGTACCAGAAATGCTGAAGGTTTACAAAGTTTTCTCATCGAGGGATTCAGTCACATCATGGTTCATACCCGTCGACCAATCACAAAACAAAGACAGCTATCACTTCCTGGTTGAGCTCCCATGCTTGTTGTGTGCTCTCCAGAGTTCAACACGTTTTCTTTCGCTACACAAGTAAGTACAATTTTATATAAGAGCAATGTGATAAACGAAATGTTTGGTCCATTATTAGATTTTAATGGGTATAGCATTTTTAATCGGCGGCCGTAGATATAATGGCACCGAGCGTAACATTTGCGTTTTTTGACTGGAACAACTGTTTACGTTTTGCCAGTAAAATTGAGCAAATTCCTTTATTTATTCTGGTGCACGGGGACATCAGCAATAGTAGGATAACGGTGGGAATAAAGAGATGTTCATGCATGTGTACGTGTAGTCCAGTTGCTATTCACATACAGTTGAAATACTTCAGGTCAATATGTTCTTGTATTTTTCTGTGTTAGTGTCATGAAATGGTTATCAAAGCAAATGAAGAATACACTATCACTAATCATCCTCAGTCTTTAAGATTTATTGTATTTACCTTTTAAACACAGTGTTGCCTATCTGTTCTTCAAATCAGTCAAATACACGTTTTTGTTTTTTAGGAGTAAATAATCTCATGGCAAAAGTCAAATCTTTGAAAGCAGATGCGTATCTGCCTAAAAAGAAGAAGTTGAGTTTAAATGCCAGCGAGGTTCATGAGGAAGAAATGATGGACACTAAAAGAAAAAAGAAAAAGAGAAAGATGGAAATAGAGGTATGTACCCCAGTCCCTTGTACCTGTTTTAGATGACACATCCTGAAATTGCTCACAAAAATAATAATTGTTTGTTTAATTCAGGAGGCTCCAGTACAGGTTCCTCATGTGGCCATCCCAGTGGATGATAAAAAACAGAAAAAGGAAAAGAAACGCAAAAAGAAACAAATGACAGAGCAAACAGAGGTAAGAATGTTAGTTTTAAAATGTGCACATCATTTTATGTTGTTGGTTTCTGTGAGTCCTCAGGTGAACTCAGACTGCTGATGTCTGTTGCCCCATACAGAAAACTCATTATTAGTACTGGTAATAAACAAGTCTTGTATGTCAATCCTTGTCCTGAAAACAAGGTGTTTAAAGGAACTGAAAACATGCTGTTATCTATCTGTTATTAACTGTATGACTTACTGTATGCAGTTGGCATTTATTTGAGGGTATAACAGTTTGTGGAAGGATGTGAAAGCTTAATTGTGTGGGCTGGCTTGGTATTTCACATGTTGCATGGCTACATGCGATTGCAACTGGTATATACATGGATTTACCTGAGGCTGAACTGTGCAGCCAGGCCCATCTGCTCTTCTGCTTGAGAAAAAGCTTCAGTTTATCTTGAAAGGTCTCCCCGAAGAAGCTGTAGATGAGTGGGTTCAGGCAGCTGTTAGAAAAGGCTGCCAGCCTGACAGCGTGACCTGTCAGGGGGTAGTCCTGCCGCAGTGTGCCACCGTCTGTGTCACCTCTTAGAAGGTGAACACTTATAAACACATTTTCCGGGAGCCAGCAGAGGAAGAACACAAACACAGCTGCTGACATCATCCGCAGGGCTTTCTGCCTTCGAGGCCTCTGCAGTGGGCCGTCCTGCTCCCTCTCACACCTCTGGAGCACCTGTGCTATTCTCCAGTAGCAAAGACCCAAGATGCAGAGAGGCAGCAAGAAACCCAGCATCACCTCCAGCCACTGAATCTGGGTCACGTTGGCAAAGCAGAAGTAGAGTTCTCCAGCGTGCTGCCATTGGGCGATAGCAAAAGGAAGCATGGTAAACAAAGATGCGGACACCCAGACAAGGCAGCAGCTGAGGCGTGCGCGCGGCATGCTGCGACCCATGAAGCCGGTCAGGGCGACATACCTGTCGAAGCTCATCCAGGTTAAGAAGAAGATGCTGCTGTACATGTTGATCTGCTGGAAAAGGTTCATGAAGGTGCAGAGGACGGCCATGTCGTAGTAGCCCTGCTTCAGGTTGAACACCTCGACCAGAGAGTCGGCCACCAGGGTGAGGTCGGCCACGGCCAGGTTCACAAAGTAGAGGTCCGGGGCTGTCAAACGGCCCCTATTGTGCAGGTTGACTACTAAGATGAGGATGTTCCCAATAAAACCGATGGGGAACAGGAATATAGTGTAGAGGATGGAGAGGATGAGGCTAATAATGTAAGGCTGATGGCTCTCTGAAGCCACCCGCTGAAAATCAGAGATGACTGCCCTTTGTGTGTCATTTACCCGAAAAGTGAAGTTATACTCAGTGATGGTTATTATTTCCATATTGCACATTTGTGTGGGTCTAGTTTTAGCAGAAGCTAACCATTAAGTTGCCATAGTTCTTTGAATACCTAGGGTTTTTAGCCCCTGTGGACTCTGTGGAGCCATCTGTTTCCTCCGTCTGCACTGTGGTCTTCTTAGATGTGTATATGGTGGAGTTGATGCCCAAGCTTTATTCCAGAGAGAGAGAGAGAGAGCGGAGAAGTGCAGATAAGAGAACAGCTTGTTTTAACCTTCTCAAGATTTTGTCTGAATGACTTTCCAGAGGCAAAAAAATCTGTGCACAATATCAATGACTGACAGAATATACTGTTTATTTGCTGATGTAAATCATTTTTAGCAATTTAGGATTAATGGATATTTCTTGTTTTTATGTGAATTATAATACCCACTCTTAGATCATCATACAAGATCAGTTACAAAACTATGTAGTTTATTATGATATTAGAAATCTGCTGTAGATGTGACACTGCAGTTGAAATGTGTGCATGTGTACAGTGAAGTTCAGTATGAGGATAAAGTGTCCCTTGTTTTCCTGCTTCAAGTCTGGTCCCGTTTTCTCTCTCAAATGGTGCAGTGGACAGATACAGTGGCTTTGATTTGAAAACTATAAGACCCTATAGGTCAAGTATCTTAGAAATAAATAAATTAGTGACACATACTTTGACATTAATATGAGATAGCTTAAACTTACCTTTTAAACTTAAGTTTCCTTGCATGGCATTGCAGTCCTTCTACTCTTCCATGTCCTTATCGTGGTAACTATGAACGCAAGTGTCGCACAAAATCTAGTGAACTGTTGTGGTGCCACCCACCACTTACAGCAGAAAACACAAATGCACAATGCAGGAACATACACACATACGAACACACAAATCATATCTTTTTAGCCAAACATGAAAAAATGTTTTCCCCATCATAGCTGTACAGTTTATTAGCAATACAGTAAGTAATCATAATTCCCAATGTACTTTTTATATGGATTTATTGTATTGCATAAATAACTGTCAGGTCACAGGTTGTCAACACCGGCACTGAAGTGTGAACACGTCTATGATTGTAGAATGTTCAAATAAATACGGGAGTCAGAGGACTTCTAGCAAAGTCAGAAGAGTATATTTACACAAAACAAAATGAAGGACAGACAGGAATAGTCACACTTCAAAAAACACGTACATAGTTCACTTAGCTGCACTTTTGCTTTTTGTTTTGGTTTACAGGCACCTGTCTGGGCCTATAGATGATATACCATGTTAATGATGTAATGCATCACATTTTGCATTGATTGATTTTGTAATTTTCCCACAAAGACTAACATAGGGGAACTGAAGGTATTGTCACTGTGATTTTACACATTGTGAATTGGGCCTGATATTTCAAATGACTCCACATTTTACAGTGCCTTTTAACCATCTTCCCTGTCCCTGCTGAAGAAAAGCAGGCCCAAACCATGATGCTGCCACCACCATGTTTGACAGTGGGGATGGTGTGTTCAGGGTGATGAGCTGTGTTGCTTTTACGCCAAACATAACGTTTTGCATTGTTGCCAAAAAGTTCGATTTTGGTTTCATCTGACCAGAGCACCTTCTTCCACATGTTTGGTGTGTCTCCCAGGTGGCTTGTGGCAAACTTTAAACGAGACTTTTTATGGATATCTTTAAGAAATGGCTTTCTTCTTGCCACTCTTCCATAAAGGCCAGATTTGTGCAGTATACGACTGATTGTTGTCCTATGGACAGAGTCTCCCACCTCAGCTGTAGATCTCTGCAGTTCATCCAGAGTGATCATGGGCCTCTTGGCTGCATCTCTGATCAGTCTTCTCCTTGTATGAGCTGAAAGTTTAGAGGGACGGCCGGGTCTTCGTGGATTTACAGTGGTCTGATACTCCTTTCATTTCAATATTATCGCTTGCACAGTGCTCCTTGGGATGTTTAAAGCTTGGGAAATCTTTTTGTATCTAAATCCGGCTTTAAACTTCTCCACAACAGTATCTCGGACCTGCCTGGTGTGTTCCTTGTTCTTCATGATGCTCTCTGCGCTTTAAACGGACCTCTGAGACTATCACAGAGCAGGTGCATTTATACAGAGACTTGATTTCACACAGGTGGATTCTATTTATCATCATTAGTCATTTAGGTCAACATTGGATCATTCAGAGATCCTCACTGAACTTCTGGAGAGAGTTTGCTGCACTGAAAGTAAAGGGGCTGAATAATTTTGCACGCCCAATTTTTCAGTTTTTTATTTGTTAAAAAGGTTTGAAATATCCAATAAATTTCGTTCCACTTCATGATTGTGTCCCACTTGTTGATTCTTCACAAAAAAATTACAGTTTTATATCTTTATGTTTGAAGCCTGAAATGTGGCAAAAGGTCGACAAGTTCAAGGGGGCCGAATACTTTCGCAAGGCACTGTATGCAACCCTGTTCCTGTATTAATTTTCTTATGTGTCACTCTGTGTTGGCACCGAGGCAATATGTAATCCATGCAGGTCAGTTATTCCTAGAACTGGTGCCCATTAGTTTCTTCAAATTAAATTTAAAGTTGACCTGTCTCGCTTGTTTTGGTTCTTTAGAGGCTGAAAAATGGTTCCATGAAGAATATTTACACTGCCGGCCTAAACTTAGAATGTGACTTTTATTTTCCTTGACTAAATCTTTCCTATCTGGCATTATGGGGATTGCAGAGGTTTTTCCAGGGATTTTGTCTAAATGGGCTTTGGTACAAATCATGTTAATGCAAACAGAGTCTGTTTCCTAATAAAAAAAAAAAGTTGTCTAAGAGCTGTGAGAAGTGTATGCAAACAATGTTATTATAAGAACAGTAAGGACAACTTGTTGCAGAGTCTAGAGGATGTACAGCAAAACATTTATTTTTTTGTAAAATAAAAATGTACAATAACTTTCAGTCCCGGGAGACACTATAAAGAAGATGCATGTATGTAAAAACATTTACATTGTCACTTAAGAGAAACAGCAAAAGCGTTGAAGTTACATTAAGAAAATGTCTAATACGTCATGTGTCAATAGTCTTTAATTTGATCCATTGGAAGAGTTCTGTTCTCAGAGATGAGAGGGTTCTTGTCCTCTATGACTCTATGTCCTGCAACGTGTCTGTGATCTCAATGTGGGGAGCTATGATGTTTCTGTTGGGCTGCGTGTGCCCTGTGCTCCGACAGCAGTCCCTCAGCTGCCTAAACACTCCGCGGAGACTCTCTCGACACGGCCTGTGCATGAGCAGCACGAGCAGCAGGCTGGCACTGCTGCCTGAGAACAAAACAAACTCAGCCACGCTCAGAAACGCACGCTCAAGATGGCCCAGCGTTTTTAGTTGTGCTCCTCTCACCAGCGCCACGCTGTAGAAGAGGTGGCAGAAGAACATGACCATGGTGACTGTCAGGAACACCGGACCCTCCTCGGAGCCGGAGAGAAAACGGCCTTTAGATTTCCACTGCCGGACGCAGCCACCTATCAGAAGTCCTACTTGGAAGATGTAGGGAATCAAAAAAGCCAGGCTCAACCTAGCGGCTGCATAAGAAACATCATTAGAGACTAGATCCATAAAACATTTGTCCTCTTCCTGCAGACTTGCTTGGCTCGGTCCACGAAGCCCAGCCAGCAGCAGACAAATCAAGACAGAAGTCAGGATCACCAGAGCTGCACACACCCCAGGCTTCCTCAGTAGGGCGTGGGATGGTGGATCCAGGGTTAGGACATAAGCCATTAACACTAAGACCAGCAGGCCGCACAGAGAGACTGTGTTGATGGTGAAGGAGAGAGCAGCACAGCCCAAACCTGTGGTCTTCATGTAGTCCGGTCTGTAGGCCACAGCGTGGAGAGAGAGGAGCAAGAGCAGCAGCTGGAAGCCACAAAAGGCCCAGAGCAGGGAGTCGAGCCAGGCCAGCCGTCTTTGGGCTCTGTACGTCTGGATGAAGCTGTAGAGCACGAAGCAGCCTGCGATGAAGCCTAGCCCAGCCAAGAAACTGTAGACATAGTTTGCTCTGGAGGTTATGTCATTCGCTGCAATGATGTCTAACTGAGAGGTAGAAGAGACTGTTGAAGTGGGGGTGTTGTACCAGATGGTGTAACTGCTGGAGAATGGAGGCGTGATGCTCCTCTGAGTGGTCGACAGGTCAAGGCTTTGATTAGACTGGAAATGAAAGAGAAAACACCCACTGATGAAATCCTGCCCTCTTAAGCATCACTGCTGTTTGTCAAGTATTTCCTCCCATCGGGGGAAGAACAGAAATCTAGTGAACCACCAGAAAAGTTCAGATAATTTGTGAATTCAGTATTAACAGTTGGAAATGTGTTGTTAAGAACTACCTTGCTTGTTTTTTTATTTATTTATTATATATATTTACTATTCCTCAGCCTATGAATCATTAAATGGGTTTTCCACAGGAACATACTCAACATATCTACTTTTGCTTTCTAAATGAACTCAACGTTGAGGTAAAATATGAACTTAACTAGAAGTCATCATTATAGATCTCTAAATATATATAAATATTGTGCTGACTAGATTTGTTTGAAATAGTTTTCTCTAAAATCGTTTGTGCGACCTCTTGTCCCTGTTGCCAGTCTTCGTCTGCTCCTGTTTGAGGAACTGCCTGCTCAGTAAAAACATATGTTTCCACTTACCATTTTTGCTTTCGTCACCCTTTCGTCTCTGTTTTGTATCCACCAGCCCGACTCTGCTGGTTGACTCAAAGCTCTGAAAATGATGCTCACTATATAGACACGGTAGCTCACTGTGAAGGACTTTTATATTTCTGTGGCCAATACCCTGCCAGCATACTTTCAGAATGACTTCGTGGCCATGTGATCAAAATCTTTTCCTCCCCTCCCTGTTTCTTTTTTTTTTTTTTATCACCATGCAGACTGAGGTCCGCTCAATCAGAGAGCATACTGAGTCCCTTGTTTAACTTCCTCTCTGAGCTAAACACAGTTTAAACGCAGTTTTTTTCTGTGGTTACTGACTACAGAAGTAAATTGACTTAAATTTGATTCTTTATTTCTCTATAGAGTAAGTTTTAATAAATAACAAGAAATTATTCTGCAGACAAATGGGGAGCCAGATACTCAATTTCATCATATTACAAAGTGAAAACATTAATTTTCTTTTCCTTGTGGTATTTTTGTTCCCCTGTAAGGCAACTGAAATCCAGTTTTTGGTTTTGATTCAATTTTCCTTCGCACAACAACTGCGTTTCTGTTACTACAATGTATGATTGGGCAAAAAGCAGACTAGAGAGGTTATTTTTAAAATCGAGCAAGCGTGAGTGCTTTGAATGCAACGCTGAAGGGATGTTGTGCAGCACAGTAAACTTTACCACACACTATAAATGAGTGTGATGCAGAACTCATAAGGCTGTAGATACAGGAAACGTCCCTCTGAGCTGCAGCGCAACAGGAAATGATCCAATATAGTGTTTAGCTTTCATATGTCTTTATTCTTAGAATAACAAAATGTTACCATTATTGTTCAGTCAAAAGAAATAAAGATTAGGTCTGCACTAACCCAGAAAACTGTAAAATAGGAAATTAGCAAGAAATGGCACACATATGTACACCCAATATGAACATATGGTTCCAACATGTTTCTTATCATTTAATCACAGTCAGTGTGAGTTATTTAGGAATGTTTTATGTTTGTGGTTTTACACAAACACAGAACATGATAAGGGCCTACAAAGGAAGGTCTGTCAAGGTAGATAACTCCCATGACATTTTGTTTTGATTTGGTGTGACAGATTTCAGATTCGCCCTGTCGCCCAGAGGGGACTCATGAGCTGGAGGGAGAGGAGGACTTGAGTCCCGAGGAGAAGCGGGTCCTGGAGAGGAAGATGAAGAAGATCTTGAAAAAGGAGGAGAAGAAGAGGCTTAAAGCTGAGGGAGAGACCTCAGAGAAAACTGAAACAGCTGGACCCAGTGCACCTCAGCAGGCCTTAGATTACCTCACCTGGTAAGAGCCACTCTTACTTAGTATAGGACAGGTCCCCTGCCTATGATGATGTCATTTCTTACATAAGAAACCATAGGTCCAAAGCAACCCAATATCTGTATCACTTAACCTGGAAGCAAGGGGTAGATGGCTCAAAAACACTGCACACATGCAATATTTACTTTTACTTTTCATATTCATGCCATCATATTGCTCTGTTTTTTCTTCGCAGCTGGGCTGAAACCCGAACAAAGTGGAAGTTCCAAAAGACCAGGCAGACGTGGTTACTGCAGCACATGTTTAACTCCGAAAAGGTAAAATTAACCCATGTGAGCACTGTATGACGAGGGTTTTTCCTCAGCTGAGTGAAGGAGTTGTTGACCTCAGAGCTGTGTTCCTGTTTTGTTAGTTTGTGAGTTACACCCACTCGGTTCTCCATTCAGTAAGTGTGACATGTTTGTTAAAACTGACTTTTGCAAAATGTTTTAGTATTTTGTGAATATAGCATGTTTGAGCTGTTACAAACACTTCTGTAAAATAGAAATGTTTCAGTATTTCTAAATAATTTCACTCAATTTATGCCGTTCTTGTACTGTCAGTCTTTATGAAAGTGCCCTAAATATACATTTCAATATGTTCCCTTGTGCTGGTTTTTAGAATGACATTTTTCTAGAAGTACAATATCCTGTAAATTTACTACAAAAAACTACTATTTATTTACTTACTTGCTTGATTATAATATAAGAACAATTATATATTTAAACTAATGGACAGCATCAAAATACTCATTCTCAGATTCCAGATGAGAAGTTCTCCTTGCTGCTCGAGTACCTGGAGGGGCTTCGTGGAGCAGCCAAAGACACCACAGTGCAGAAGGCCTTAGCCCTGGTTGAAGAGTCGGGACAAGCGCCAGAGGACACAGTTGTCCAGCAGAGGGCGCACAGAGCCAAAGAAGTTATCCAGCTGCTCTCCTGAACCCACCACCATCAGGGAAAGGCATGAGGTCCACCAGAAAAAGACTGATGTTTGTTGATCAGTGGACTGAATTAATGCCCTGGTCTCAAGCAAGGACTAAAAAGTTTTGTTTTATATGTAATTTTCAGGAACAGTCCTTTAGGGAAAGTATTTGTTTTGATTAAATTACCAGTATTGCTCACATTTTCTAATCTAAAATGTGTCTACGTTACTTTTTCTTTCCCATTTCTTTCCATTACTTGCGTGCATTATTGCCTGCTAGTAATCAGTGAAGTACATTTTTACTACAAGTTACACAGTAGCTGATTCTCACTTCTTTTTCCAACTCCAAATTTAAAGAATTCAGTCTAGTTTCACCATCATTTACAGATAAGGAGAGATATAAATCCCCAAAGATGGAACGAAGAGCTGAGAGACTGCTGGACTTAAAAGTCCCAGGAATGTTTGTAGTTGAGACATGTCTGTGCCCGTCAGAGCCCATCGTCTGTGACGTCACTGATGAGGATAACTTTTCTCATCCACTATAATCATTACAAACCTGCTTTTTGGTTTTACAACTAATTATATTTGGGATTGTGTAAACCCATTCTTAAACTAAACCACATTTGTGCTTTTACATACTATTTATAAAGCCAAGCTTTGTTGTGCCCCTAAATCATGTCTCCTCTATGCCCAGAACAGACGGTAGGTATTGGTGCAGCTGCCAGTTGTGGCTGCAGGGTCAGGGAGAATGTAGGCCTCCTGCACCACATAGGCACATGTTTAAACTCTTAATTCAGGTTACAAACATTTCAGGAAGGAAACTGAGTCTTTATATGTGGGTGAAAGCTGGTGATATCAATTCCTGGATTTATAAAAATGTACCCAAATACAGACTTAATATTCCAAAGGTAGATATAGATAGATTGATAAATAACATAGTGATTACAGAGAGAGATACATTCACTGTATCAATCCACACACATAAATAACACCATGAGCTTATTTGATCACTTTTACCTGAAAAACACGTGAAAAATACCATGGTTGTTTAATGAAACTAGTACAAGTCTTCACATGTAACAGTTTTTAGGGACTCCTTTTCTCTTGTAAAGAATTTATGAACCTGCAGAAGAACCAAATGTTGAGACATGAACACATTAAACTTGTATCCCCTCTAAATAATTTTTAAAACCATTTTTATTTCTCAACATGTTTACAGAATGTGATTTATTAGCAAGATTATCCTTTCTCCTGGAGAGAGCCAGCTAAGTGTCCCAATGCCTGTAAAAAGTGTAATCCACAAATGAGTTCAGTTTCTCAGTGTCACTGGTGATGGCAATACTGTCCAACGAATGTCTGTGTCACTCACAGTGACCAACAAAATCTTCAGATCCAGTCAGGTGCTTTGAAATGGAGAAGGTGACTTGCTCTGGGAGATTTTCACTGCAGATCAATGAGGCCGTTGTCCCCCCTAAGGTGTTTATCCTTAACTGTTACACTCACTGTGCCTTTTGCTTCATCTGGGACATATTGAACACAAAAAAGTTACTTTAGTTAGTTACCAAAAAGTTACTTGAGTTACAATAGTGTAATGAGCAAAGGCAGTCCCAATAAATTCACTTACTTTGATTTGAATCAAAAGAAATATTATGTTGAGTGAGGAGAGCACGCAGTCTCTCAATCTCTTCTCTCTGTTTTTGGAAATTCTGTATAAAATATATTGAAAATTTCTGCCACACATTTTAAGCAGTATTGTAGTAATATACATGATTTTGTATGCTGTTATTTGGAAGAGTATGTGAATATACATACCTCTGTACATTTCTGTAAAGAGTTGTGTGTTTCTGAATCAACTGCAACTTCTGGCAGCTTTATCTTCACTTTCTGGCTCTTCAGGAGACCAGCATCCCCAAAAATATCCCTCAGAAGATTGCTGTATCCCTGCAGCAAACACACATTGCGTGTAAATGACTAAACTGTAGTAAAACAAGTACTCTGAAAAAAAGCTTAGATTTAAATGTAAATTACTGTAGACATTTCAATGCAAATGCAAAGAAGGACTATACTTATGTGTTTGAATGACTCTGGGAATCTTAAGGACGCCTCAGTTTAATAAGCTTGCAAGTGACCAAGCCAGTTACGCCGTTTTATCTGCCAAAAAGGTCTTTACCTGCTCAGTAATAAGGCCTTCATAGCGAGCCTGCTCAGCTTCATCCCATTCCCTTTGCAGCTTCTCACTCAGTGTTGGGTACACTTAAAAAGAACATAGAAAGGATAAGGAATCACTAATAATACTGATTTACTGCTGACTTGTGCTGTAAGATGTTTCTTTTGTCTTACCTAAAAGAGAATGTGGATGGCAAACAAGTGGGGTCTCAAAGGTTAGTGAGTACACACAAGTACTGGGCTCTGAGACTTGGGCAAGCTTGCTGCTCGTACTGCAGACAAGAATCACCTACAGAAAAATGACAAGAAACAAGGTACACGTGTCCATATTGGTGATTTAAATGTGATGACGATTTTGTGTTGTAGTTAAATATCATCTGATGAGTTTGCTGATGTGGGTTTCATTCATTATCTCCTAAAGTGTTATTTAACTGGACATTGAACAAAGCCAGTGGGCACCCCTAAATGCTTATAAATAAAAACCAGAATGTGTTTAAACATTTAAAACCCCATTAACCTTTGTCTCCCTGTTTCTGGTTCCACAAGTATCCCCGTCTCTCATCCACATGCCTGTGAAAGTGTTGTTTGCTATTTCCCACTCCTGCCAGATCCTGTTAGGAACACACAAAAAGCTGCCATATTGCCAAATCGTTCACATATTGAGATTTACGATAACAGGTAGGTAGTGTAAGGTAAGATAACTGCATCTTACCCTAGTATCCCACTGTAGGCATTCCACCGAAATGACTGCTCATGTTGTGTGATGTTGTGAAATGGACAGAACTCATATCTATATCTGCAAAATGACAAGGCACACAAATGCAATTATTTTTTAAGACACTTTGATGTGACATGCATGAATCCAACGATCAGCATAAAATACGTACGTTGACTCTGTGAAACTGAAGCACTTTCCAGCAAGCTGATGAAGATGTGCAGGGCCTTGAGAAAGACATTAGTGTTGATATAATCAGTGAATTCAGTGATTGGTTGAAGAAAATCTCTTGATAACTTTCAGTCAACTGATTAGCTCACTTCCTTCATGACATTTAAAACACATTATTAAATAAAATATAGGCTTTAAATCATGTGGAACTATTTTACCAGATACTGGAAACGGAGTCACTTTAGGCTGCAATCTGCTTCCCTGAGCCAGAAAAGGATTATTCAAACTAAACACGGAGACACAGAGAAAATGAGTCAGAAAGATGCAACAGTCAACACGATGCACACTGTGACAGATATGGTTTTGCTTGACAAACCCAAATGTGTTTGGCTCCTCGACTATCTTCATTTTACCAGCGAATCCATGGTTTACTGTGTACAAAAACAAACTCACATCAGACTCAACTCAATTAGCACACATTAATAATGTAGCGCATCTGGTTCTTCTTCTTATGGTTTTACGGCAGTTTAGACGCTTCTAGGAGTTAGCGCATCTGGTTTGGTATTACTGTGACATTTAAACTAAATGCACTCAGCGGAGGATGTAAGCACTTACTGAATAAGGATACGCAGACCATCCACAGCCTTAATAAAGTTTGTATACCGTTACATAAACAGTACATGGCTGATTTTTCAGCGACTAAACTGCCTTCCTGGATGTTTCAGCTACATTTCCTGCTTTGTTGGTAGTTCGTCAGATGACAGGTCACCTGATCAAAATAAGATGTGAGCATGCGCTGTTTGCTTCTTTGACTACGGCGTGCTTTCCACGATAGAAAGTAGCCAAGGCCATTCTGTAGTTTAATTAATTACATAAGCAGTTCAGGGCTAGTTGTATTGTGATTATAGCTTTGAAATTTTAAGTTGTGAACGCGTAGATAAAATACGAGGTGAACTGACATGCTGCCAGTGGGATAGCTAGCTACTAGGACGTTAGCTAGCTTATGTCAGAGTAAACCACGCAAACAAATGCTGGATAGTTTTAATGCAAGCTGTCATCTGACTGTAGCTAACATAACTAAGTAGCTGTCCACTGGTTGCAACATGGGACGAAAGAAACAGGGCAAGTTTGTGCGCCCCGACAACAAGGGCAAAGACAAAAGGCATAAAATGAAGGGGAAATCCTTGGAGACCTTTACAGAAGAAATGCACACTGCTTTTGAAGGTAAAATGCAATGAGTATTTGAAACTAAACTATTTTTCAACTGCCTCATATTTTACATGTGGGCTACAAGGCCAAGATTTAACAAACAATTCTATCAAAAATGCTAAATCAAATATTCTGCAAAGGACAAATGTACACAGGTATCTAAAGTAGAAGAGCAGGATTTACATGACATTACTGTTTTTTTTACAGGGCCATAAGGCCTTGCTGGATCAAACTCTTAAGGTTATAATATAATGGTTGAAATAATGTTGGCTGTTAATGTTCTTTTCAGATGTTCTGATATTAAATATGAAAGCCCTCTGTTAACTTATGCCATAGTAATATACTTAGTAAATAGTAATTAATTGCTTATAGATTGATGTCATTGAGGAGAAAGTGCAAAGTTTTAAAAATGAAAGTCCTTAAAGAAACTGTAAGAATAATGTAAACTTTGTACTCTTTTGTTTTTCAGCAACCCTTCACATAGAGGAGGGAGCTGAGGCCCCTCAGGTGAAACTGCCTTGTCCACTTGCCATGTGGGAACTAGGTCACTGTGATCCCAAACGTTGTACCGGCAGAAAGTTGGTACGCAAGGGCTTTGTACGAAACCTGCGCCTCAATCAGAGATTTAACGGACTCATTCTGAGTCCGATGGGCACAAAGTATGTGACTCCAGCAGACAGGTGTGTAGAGTTAGGTCATCCACACCACACCTATTGAAATCGCAGCTAGCCTTCAAAGAATCATTAAAACGTAACGTGATGATTCACTAAACAAATGTAACACACATGTAACAGTTCATCCAGAGATTATTCTTTAGATTGATCAGTTAATAATTTAATCTATAATTTTATTGATTATCAAAATTATGTTGATGTTAATGATTGTTTTCTTTCCTGTGACTTTCTTTAAAACATCTCTCAGTGTGATCAAATAATAATGAAATAGTTTGTGATTAAGAAAACGTTTTGTCCGGACCTTTATGCACAGAGAGATTGTGGCTCGAAGTGGGTTAGCAGTGATCGATTGTTCCTGGGCCAAACTGGAGGAGACTCCGTTCAATAAGATGGTTGGAACTCATCCCAGGTTGCTGCCGTACCTTGTAGCTGCAAACCCTGTCAACTACGGCAAGCCCTGCAAGTTATCTTGTGTTGAGGCTTTTGCTGCCACATTCTGCATTGTAGGTGAGGTTTTTTAGCTTCAGTACTGTATTGTCTTCCTGACTGCCTTCTTTATTCAGTTACTTATTATAAAGTTAAAGCAGTGAAACTCCAACATGCATGTATCTGATTCTTTGCAGGTTTCGAAGAACTAGCAGTGCTCTTGTTGAGGAAATTCAAGTGGGGGACAGTGTTTCTGGATCTCAATAAAGTTCTGCTGGACCGCTATGCTGCTTGCCAGTCAGAGGAAGAGCTGCTGTCTGTAGAAAAGGATTTTCTCAAGTCTAAACCGGAGGAGGAGGACTTTGGTAAAATGGGGGAGAAATAAACTGGGTGTTTTATCTAGTGTTTTTTCTAACATAATTGTGTAGCAGAGCTGGTTGGGGTAATCTGGGTTTTAATCCCACATCTGTCCTTATTTTAGTCTTGGTTTGGCTTCATGTAGCCCTAAAATAGTTAAAATGTATTAAACTTTATTATTAAAGCTAAAATATAATCATTTTATTGTGTTTCATAGTTGCTCCAACACTCTGACTCACCACTGCTAAATTATTATTGGGGTAACACTGGTCTCTGGACTGGACTGTTGGGATTTGAAAATCATAAATTATTGTTCTTAAGGCTTTTAAGCTTCATGAATTACAAATATGATTTTATGAATAGAGTTCAGTGTTCTGTTATCTAATTTTAAACACTGATGTGAACATTCCTTGCATTGTTTCCTAGACTAATAATCAATAATCAAACGTAAATGCCATTTTGCTTTACTATGTTCTTTTGGTTTTGATTTAATTTGATTCTATTTGAATTGTTAAGCAAATTGTAGATGTGGGCAGTGAATCAGAAGTCTGGAGCCAGGCTAATTGTTTCCAGCATCTCTGGAAAAGTGTCCCTATAACAGAGAAGGATGCATTTTGTTGCTGAGTTATGATCTCTGTGGTTAAAGCAATTTTCTAATTAACGAAAGCCATTCATCCATCTCGTTCACAGATCCATTTGATGTTAACTCAGGAGTAGAATGTAGGAATCTCAACAGACGTCAGTGGTAAGCATTTAATATTACTCATGAGGGCATTTCATTTCTAATATTCTTATATAAAAATGAGATAATCCCTCAGATATTTGTTTGCAAATATTGTACTGATGTATATGTTGATAATTTAATTATTGGGGTCCTGGGATTTTAGTGTTTCGGGGGTGGCGGGGATTGATGCTTGGGCTTGATCTTCTGTTTTTCCCAGGTGCTTATTTGTGGTTGGAGGGTTGGGCTTATGGGTTTTATATGGGGTGGTACTATTACATTACTGTTGTTTTTAAATGACTCTGTAGCGTGAAGCACTTTGTGTTACATGTATTTGTATGAAAAGTGCTATAAAAATAAAGATTGATTGAATTATCAGTACTGATACAAAAATGTTACTGCTTTAGAATCTGCAGTCTTTAGTTTGTAATATGCCACCTGATACAACTTTTAAATTTTCAATAATATAAAGTTTACCCACTTAACCCAATAAGCCAATATTGCTGGGAAAATACCAAATATTCTTAAAAGCATGTTGCATTCATAGTTTGTTTTCCATTGGTATGGTTCCCCAAACTGTCATTTCTGTATGTAGTGCACCAGAAAATAATGATTCTAGTGAGGATACGGACGCTTCAGAGGATGACGAAAATGTGGATGATGAGGATGATGAAGAAGAAGCAGAAAAAAACGAAGAAGCAGAAGAAAACGAAGATAAAGCAGAAGATGTAAAAACAGAAAGCAACAATGAGTCAAGAACAGTTTCACATCATCACGAGGAAGAGGCAGAGACTGAACCAAAGTCATCCCAATAAATTAAAATATTTCAGCCATGGATTATTTTACTACAAGGACTGGCATATATTTTTCAACGCTGATGACTGATGATGCATAAACTGAAGGCTATTCTGGGAATATCCGGTTTTGTATATGTATCTAAAAAAATAAGAAAATTATACAAAACATTGTATGTTTTTTTTATGTAAACAGAACGAATAAAAGAATATGTGCAACCTTAATTTAATTTGAGGTGTATGTTGGGATACAGGAGTTTTCACAGTTTCGGGTTGGATACACATGCTTACATATATAAAGAGGTGATCAGTAAACGCAAACTTGTGTGCTGTGTGAATTCAGACTGCATGTACACAAAACTTTTTGTTAAATGTGTGTGTAAAAGACTTGTAGATAATCATCGGAGTAATGAATTATTAGTCGATCTATAACAGACTGGCGTAAAGACAGTTTGAAGGGTAAGTTTATTGCGTTATTATATCAAGAACTGCTGCCGTCAGTCCCTGATCAGCAAGATGAAGTTCAGTAGGTTGTAAATGTGGCGAGGGGGGCGGACACAGCGGGACTCTCCTCTGCTGTCCTGCGGTAACATTGTTGTGGAACGACGTCACAGCTCGAAAATGAAGGCGCAGAGGCGGCCATTACTGTAGCTTCTCTAATTATTTTATTCCAAATAAATACTCGCGGAAAACTCTCATGGCAAGAGCTACAAGTCAGCTGGTAAGTGTTACAACTTTAATGCGAATTACAGCTCGAAGCCGGTGCTCAAAACGTACAGTGTGGCGGCTGTTCGACAACAACTAGTTAGGTTGGGCCTTCTTGTGAAGAGCGGTGCTAGCCGCAAAAGATCGTTACGACTCACTAGCAATGTTAGCTCGCTAATGTTGGCTAACGCAACACCTAATGTTAGCTACGTTAACCGGGCTTGTAACACTTGGTTGGACCCGTGATTAAGGTCCGTCGAATAATTCGGTACTGAGGTAGCATTTGCCAGTGCTTGGTATTAGTTTTACAGTATGTATGACCATTTCCCCTTGGCCAATAGCGTTATCTGTTGGCTGACGTTAGCTAAACATGTTCGCGCTTTCTAACGATGCTCCTGCCTGCTAACAAGCTAACGTTAGCTTTATTGCGTTGCACCTTTGGTAGAAGATAGCTTGTTAAGGTTAGCGTTGTGTAGTTCGACTGTCAACCCATCAACTTTCAAATTTCGATAGTAATGTCGGCACACTAACTTTGAACATAGCCGAGTAAGGATGCGTGAAATTAGCACACGGTTTTGAAGTTACTTATCTGTTACCTGCCGTGCTAACGTTAGCTAATTGACTGGCTGTTAGCGTTAAGTTTATAACTCGCTGTCAGTGATGGCCGGCATTATTTGACAAGGCAGCCGGAGCTAACGTTAGCAAGCTAGCAGGCGTTAGTTAGCAAAGAAAGTTTGCACAGGCCTGTTAGGGTTAGGTTAACGTTAGCTGGTGTTTTCTATCAACCTGTACATGGTTAATCAATAGTAATGGGTCAGTAGATAGTTATATGACCAATTGGCAACCATACAGGCAAGTCCGGATAAGTCAACTAAATGGCCACACCTTGGTTTTGAATGAGAAGAAGCTAGGCCAACTGAACTAACTAACGTTAACTGAGTTGAAAGCTGGACAGCATCAGCAGCGAGTGTTACAGTAGTTCAGCAAGTTTAAAATAACTAACTTTGCTACAAGCATCAAACAGTTTGTTGAAAAGCACAAGCTGTCGCTGTCTGGTATCTCTGATCATTTAGTGGTGACACATACACATACAAATGTTATGAGTCCAGTGCAGTTGTTTTGGTAAGAACAGCTGTCACATGAAAGAAGTAACTTTGACATAGTTTTTACAACTTTAACTCTGAAGGGTGGGACCACTAGGCTCAGAAGCACCTTCTTCAATAATTGCTGCATGTCCTTATCAATTTTAGACTTTGCTCCCAAAGTGGTCCTACTTTAAATTGTAAATTTAAGTTATGATACCCTACCAACTGCAGTAAATTTATGTCAGCGTCTTGGGAAAGTGGGGCTACTTTATATGATCCAGAACATGTAAGCTTCATCTAGTCTAGTCTTGTTTACACATTTTCTGGAATAGATTGGGTGATTGCTCATTTTGTAGTACGTAATATTGTCTTCATTATACAACCAATATGCAACAACGTGTAATAACCTGGGCCGGGCAATATGTTTTGCGTTTTATTGCCGATCAGTATCGTGTCCTCGTATTTAAGGGAAATCTGAGTTATGATACACTATAACTAAGCAACTGCTAAATCTGTTTGCTAATGGAATGATGGCCAGAGTACCTAAAATATCTGTGCTGAACAGCAAAATATGACCTTTTCTATAAACAGATATTCTTTGCACAAATTGATACTGGAAACACTTCTCAATTTAAAACTACATGTGGACATTTTTTAAAGATGCTATTTCTACACCTGCATCACTCTGCTGACTGCTATTTTCAATGTTCCCTCTCCTGTTCCAGTATGATGTTGTGCCCATTCAGCCCAGCGTTGTCATCTGTTCCTGCTCACATCCATCAATGGTAAGAAACCACCCTGACTCCTGCTCGCCACTTGCTATCCCAGGCGCAAGCAGTAGCCATTGTCCCAGCATGGAGGGCTCAGCCTCAGAGGCCCGTGCTGTAGGAGCGTCTGCAAGCGGTCAGGGCTCAGACCTCCGCACACAGTCTGCTGTCCAGGCCCCCCAGCCACGCAAGAAGAAGCCAGAGGACTTCAGATTTGGCAAGATACTGGGAGAGGGTTCCTTCTCGACGGTATGTAACTAGCATTCCACTTAGCTTTTAAATTTTACCAGGGTAGATGTTGCTACATGCTAGCATTCTTTTGATTAATGTACCTGGATGAGTCATCCTCAGCTCATTTGAGGTGAAGTGACAAAACAGGCCCTAAGAGCTACTAGATTTTCTCCCAAGTCTGACAAGAAAGCAAGATGCCATGTTATGTTTTTTTCTGTTCTTATATCCAAAGGTTGTCCTGGCAAGAGAGCAGGTAACAGGGAAAGAATATGCAAGTAAGTAATAATGCACAAGATATTGGTGAATTACACGTTATTATTAAGATGGAAAAGTTGCTGAGTGCATTTTTACTATTATATCCTGAAATGTTCTTTTCTCTCCTTCAGTTAAGATTCTAGAGAAGCGCCATATTATGAAGGAGAACAAAGCCCAGTACGTGAAAAGAGAAAGGGATTTGATGTCAAATCTAGATCACCCATTCTTCGTCAAGCTCTTCTTCACATTTCAAGACGATGAGAAGTTGTGTATCCTTTGACAAATTCAATTTGTCAGGGCATGTTATATATTAATAACTTACCATTGGTGTTTATTTTTGTGTATTAGCAATTGATTTCTAGTAATCACATTGTTCCTTAACTGGTTTCTTTTTGTAGATTTTGGTCTTAGCTACGCTAAGAATGGAGAGCTACTGAAATACATTCGCAAAATTGGTTCATTTGATGAGACCTGTACTAGATTCTACTCAGCTGAAATAGTTTGTGCTCTAGAATACTTACACAATAAGGGGATAATACACAGGTAAGACTTGTTTTATTCATAATGATATTTTTGTCTTTTATTCTATTAGCTTATATCATTTTCTAAACCTGTTAGGTGTTTGTTTAACCCCAGCAGTTACAAGTTGTTTCTTTATTTCAGAGATCTGAAACCAGAGAATATTCTTCTGAGTGAAGAGATGCACATCCAGATAACAGATTTTGGGACAGCAAAACAGTTATCGTCAGACAGTAAACAAGGTATAGCCACAGTCATGATTTTACTTGTACTTCTCAGCAAGTATAAAAAGTGTGACGTCATTGAAGCCTTTTATTTCTGTGAACAGCATTAAGGTTTCGTGTCTCTACTTATACCCTTTATTTGCATTGTTTGGCAGCGAGAGCAAACTCCTTTGTTGGGACAGCACAGTATGTGTCTCCAGAGCTGCTAACAGAGAAATCAGCCTGCAAGAGGTAATGCAATTTGGTCGTCAAGAAACTGATACACTTACTATTTATTGTTTGTCAGATAAGAGTGTCACCACATCTGTAAGTTTATTTCTTGGTCTTCTTTTTTTCCTCAGCTCTGACCTCTGGGCCTTGGGATGTATTATCTATCAGCTGGTGGCTGGTTTACCACCGTTCAGAGCTGGGTAAGTGCTAAGGGGGATGTCACAGCTCGGTTAATCCTCCATTAATTCATGCTTTAATAATGGTTGACCATGTTGTATTGCATTTTTACAGTTGACTATTTAGGGTAATTTCAAGTGCAACAAATGCTATGTGTGAGAATAACCTAGCCCCAGTGATATTAATCTGGCAAGCATTTCACTTGTGGAACACTTCCCTAATTGTCTGTTTTGTTCTTTTCCTCTTGTGTTTCATATATTGTAGAAATGAGTACTTAATATTCCAGAAGATAATAAAGCTGGAGTATGAATTCCCAGAGAAATTCTTCCCCAAAGCTAAGGATCTTGTCAAACAGCTTTTGGTAGGTTATCTAGTACCATGATTCAAATATACAATTAAATGTTAATAATATTGTGGGGATATACATGTGGTATATTAGTTGCTCGTGCTGGTGTCGGTTATTTACAGGGCAGTGCTTTTCTACTGAATGAAAACACATCTCGTATCTGTTTCTGGTTTTTACCTTCAGTCACTGGACCCTTCCAAACGGATTGGGTGTGAAGAGATGGGAGGGTATGACCCTTTGAAGCAGCACAGCTTCTTTGACAACATCTCCTGGAGTGACCTACATGTACAGACACCCCCCAAGCTCACCCCCTACCTGCCAGCCATGTCTGAGGATGATGAGGACTGCTATGGAAACGTAAGATATTTTATTACAGTCCAAGTTTCTCTTTTTAAAAATTGTTTTTATTAGTCCATTTTTTGCTTATTCATCTTGGGAAAATGTAGGTGTAATGCCTCATTGAAAGATATAGATTCCCTGAAAACATGAACAAAGGCAGTCAGATGTCACTATAACGTTTCTCACCTGTCTCATTTCCAAACTCAGTACGATGACCTCCTGAGCCAGTTCAGCAACATGCAGGTGGCCCAGTCTAGCTCATCACACTCTCTGTCGCCACATGAATCCACGCCCCCGCAGAGGTCCAGCAGCAACATAGAGCAGTACATCCACGACCTGGACAATAACTCATTTGAGCTGGACCTGCAGTTCACTGAAGAAGAAAAGTTGCTATTGCTGGACAAACAGACCACTGGAAACCCCTGGTAAACCCTTCGACATTTTCAACCTTGTCACCCTGTTAATAATTGAAACAAAATCTTGCTCATAGATACGTCAATCTTGTCCTAGATATATGAAACAAAGTTAAATTATAAAGAGTTTTTTAAAATAGAAGTATTCGTTTGGCTGTCAATAGGAAGAAATTTATTGAGGGGAAAAAAGTTCTGTTTTGAGTGAAAGGGATGGGGTGCCAGTAATCTGCTGTTGCTTATTTACACAGGCACCAGTTTGTGGAGAATAACCTGATTCTGAAAATGGGCCCAGTGGATAAACGAAAGGTGTGTGTGTCTTATATTTATGGTATTGTTGATTTGTAAATATAGAAGAATTGAGTCCTTTTTAATGTAGACTATACTAGCTGTGTTTTGTAATAGTTTAAAGGTAAAATGTGAACAGATTTTCTAGTTAAAGTTGTCTCGGTATGAATTAAGTCATTTTCCTATGTCCTAGCATATTGGAAGTAAAGGGAAATTCCCTGCTATGGTGTCATTGGCTTTATAGCCCCCTCTGTTGGTGAACTACTGTCCTGAGACGTGTTCAATTCCATTGCAGGGTTTGTTTGCTCGACGGAGACAGCTGCTTCTCACTGAAGGACCACACCTGTACTACGTGGATCCTGTCAACAAGGTCCTGAAAGGGGAGATTCCTTGGTCCCTAGAGCTACGCCCTGAGGCCAAGAACTTCAAAACCTTCTTTGTTCACACGGTACATGACTGTTTACTTACTTCTGATGTCTGTCCAGCATATTTTCCTCCAGCAACAGCATGTTGATACGTGCCCACTGTTTAGAATCTCTTCTCAAATGTGTTTTTTTCCTCTTTTAATATATTATAATTTTCTTATATGCTTGCAGCCTAACCGAACATACTATTTGATGGACCCCAGCGGAAATGCTGACAGATGGTGCAAGAAGATCCAAGAAGTGTGGAGAAAGATCTATCAAAGGCACCAAAACCCCGGCCTATAGGAGCACAGTTCCTCCCTTGGCCACTCCTCTTTAGCTCTGAGGCCAATCACTGAGCAGAGTAACACCCTCTTTAGTGCCCTTCATCACCGCAATGTAAACAAACTCTTAGAGACGCTGGCATCTAGACCTTGTTTGTTTTCCTGAGTAGAACGATGGGGAAAAATACAACTTTGGATTCAGGGTTGCTTTGCTTGTTCTTTGTGCTCTGTGAGGCTTCTATTGCATTTTTCATTGTATGGATGATGATGATGATGATGATGGCACCATGCACATCAGCTTCTTGTACATTCTGCAGGTGGGGGAGAGAAGGGCAAGCTTGTCCTGTAGAGTGACACAAGCTTGGGTACTGCTAGGACTATCTCAAATGCAAGGACTGGTTTCCTGCTTCAATGATACCATAACACAAAATCTAGCTTTTGTGAACCAGAGCCTATCCTGATATCTTAAGTAAACCATATCCTAATCCTACATTGTGCGTGCAAGCTGTAGTCAGGCTCCACTTCTAACGCATATACTCCATAGTTGTAACAGATACTGTAAGCTGATTCAGTCTCACACGTTTACCAAACTGAAATCCTATATATATTTTTGTCAGAGCCCAAATGTTCCCATGGTATTTGAGTTGTTTCTTTTAAATCTCTTGGTACTTGCTTATTGCAGTCCAGTTAAGGTCTTGATGTAACAAAGCGGAGTGCTGGTCTGCAGTGAGACATGGGTCTGAATCAGTCTCTGTATAAGTGTGAGCCTTCCATTGCCGTTACTGGGGATGTATTGCTAACGGGGTGGGAAACATGCCACTAGCTTGTACTTCCTAATCATAACTTGCTTATCTTTCCTGCATGGCCAGTTTTGTAGCTCAGCCTTGTCCGCTTCTCTCTCCTAGGGCACTGGAGATATAGTTTATTCAAGTTTAAAGGTGGGTATTTTTGACTGCATTGGCAACCATAGCGAATATTATTGGATGATTTGGCTGTTCTGTACCATTCACTGGCTATTTCTTTGTGGTGTGAATTCTTCGATTTCCTTTTCGGTGGGATTCAGTATGTCCTATTGAAAACAAAATCTTATGTGCTGACCACCCCATGCTGAACAGAAAACCTTCATCAACAGAGATGCATACACATACTATCATTCTCGGAAGCAATCACAGTAAAGCTATTGTCCCCGGACAAGATGGCAGAACTGCCTCATCGGGCTCATTGGCCCATCTGTTTTTTCCTTCATTCTGATGTTTGGCCCAATAGAAATTAAAGCGATTGATTTAACTTGTGCTCTTGTTTTAGCAATATGTATTATCATAATGCTTTTAATTTTTGACATATTACCTTAAGGTCCTTTCCAAAGGTCCTCTTCCTTCAGCTGAGTCTGTGTGTGTGCAGTGTGTGACTGAGTATAGGTGAATAGGACCCTCTGGCCCTGGGGCCCGGGGCTCGATGTGGGTGGATGTCAGTTAAAGGATATCTATCTGATCCAAATAACCGATGAAATTGCTGTATCTGTCTATAAAGTTGAGGAGGCACTGTTTCCTCTAGTTAGAAAAATTGTTTGAATCAAGTCGATGGCAGTCGGTTACATTGTGTATGGATTACTCTACCTGGCTTGTAACTGACTAGAACTGTGATGTACAGATGATGTATTATTAAAACCTGAAGCAAGTAATGCAATGATATTAGGATACAGTTTTTGTATTTTTATTCTTGTATAAGGTTATTTGATGGCTATTGTTTAGCCTCTAGTTCATTCTGTGTTATTTAAATTCTAATATATGAATCATATTTGGATTGAAGTCATGTTCAGGGGCCATGTTGTGTATGTATTGAGATGTAAAGCCTTTGAATGTGAATAATTATTGTAAACTATAATATTTTACAGCTTTTTTCTTACTATATCATACATTTTCTATTTGCTCAGTGATTTAATCATATTCTGATAATTTAATGAATCTGTTCATTCTTTCTCTGATTATTTGTGCGCTAGGTCAGTAGATGTTGAATGATGAATTTTCCACTTAATGCTTGGTAGTCCAGTAATTAAAGCATGTAGGGATTTAGGCATACAAATAAAGTCATGTGTCCTGTCTTCTGTTAACAACTACAGTCATGACAGTGAAAGCAGCAGCATTCAGTGGCAATGGCATCTCACATTTTGCAGCATGTAAATAAAGTACCAGCCCATTATCATTGTTTTTGTGTTGTGGAAATTACTTTAATGCAAACTTCACCGGTAAAAAACATAAAGCTGGCGTGTTGTGAATACTTAGGGTTAAATTATGAAGTACCGTACACAAAAATATGAATGGGTGTTTGTCACCCATGCTCATTTTTATACACTGACATTTCCAAGCTCTCAGTATCAAGAAATCATTGCTCTACTATTGAAGCGTCTGTTAATGAAGCTGGGGAGGACCTCTTTTTCTCTGGAATAATTTATGCAAGTGTCAGTGCTGTGGGAGGTAGGAGTGGCTGAGGCGCTGGCAGCCTGCTTTGCATGAATCGTGGACTCCCAAGTCAGTGGCTACAGCTTAGATATTTCCTGTCAGCAGCGCAGACAGAGCCGAGCCGAGGGCGGAGGAGAGGGATGGCAGAGAACAGCTCCGAGCCGAGTAGCTCCGTTCACCGGAGATGTCTGGCCCATTCTCCGGCGGAGAGAAACAGCTCATCCGGTGTCGGGTCATCGAAATGGATCCGATTAAACGTCGGCGGGACGTATTTTTTAACAACGAGACAGACGCTGTGCCGAGATCCAAAATCATTTCTGTATAGGCTGAGCCAAGCTGACCCCGAGCTCGACTCCGACAAGGTAAATGCTAAGCTAGTCGAGCTATCATTAGTTAGGAGCGTAACGTTAGTTGGTTAACTCCCATTTTATTTTCCATTTATGTAGCTTATATTTATTTATTGCACAGTTAAGTCGGGATGGCTCATGACTGTTTGTCCGCTTGCTTATTTAGATATCCATTATTGTTAAACTCCGCGTTAATTCATACTTTAGTGCTAACTTGTTTTTTTGTGGCTAGCTAGCCATAGCTCGCTAAGCTAGCTAGATTCCGACAGTCACCACATGACATAACGTTACGATTTTGCTGCTAGCGTGTCTGTGTCGTTATGTGTCTTTTTAACAAGATACGTTGGCACGTCTTGCGGGTTTACATACATTTCTTGTCTCGTAATGTAGGGGTTTTAACGGTTTCAATGGGGTTTCCCAGTTTAAATATTAAGTCTCCTCAGTAGCTGGAAACTTTCCCCATCCGACGCGTTGACACTGATCGAGGTGTCAAATATTGTCACCAACCTCATTTTACAAAAGCTACATATTCAGCTTTGAACTTTAGTTATAGATAGTGTAACCCAATTTTGAGTATGACTGTTTATAATATAATATGTAATTAAAACTTTTTTAGTGGGTTATGTCACTCTGCTTTAACAGTCAAATACGTGCAGCAAGTGTAGCTTAAACAAATTGTATATCATATCGGTATGCTGTTGAAGCACTATCCATCCATGACTATTTTCTGGCCAATCAAGTGATTGTGATGTGTACAAGCGTTGGTGCTATAATTAACCTAAAAATTATCTAGACTTTATTGCTCGATCAACGTGTGTTTTTTCAACCCTTCCTCTCATGAGGTTAGTCTGTTCTTACTTGGCTGTTTGCTCTGCAGTAATCAGCCTCTGTGCTGGTGGTGAGGCTCCCTTTTAATAAGTACATAAGTCATTGCCAAGTGGCGTGAGGTGCTGCTGACAACTGAGAGCTCGGGATGAAGTCACTCATCTCCCTGAATGGCCCCAGTGCTCCAGATACAGGCTTCTCTCAGTTTGTCCATCTGCCAGTTTTAATAGCAGCATGTGTGCTTTAAGGCCTCCAGCACTGTCAATGCATTAGTGTCCCTATAGGCTACATAGTGTAATATACTCTGCTCTTCATCGTTCATTGTACTGCCCCATTATTCATTGTTTTCATCTACTTGCACATTTTAATCTTCAACCCTGACCCTTTATACTAAGCTTGAGACTGTGGCTCATCTCGTATGTTCATGCAAATATCTTAATCTCTGAATAATCAGCTTGCTTTTTTGTCAGTTTATCCTCCCATGAGCAATGGATCAGTCCATCTCAATCCCTTGTCTTAAGTGTGCATCAGACTCACAAGCCATTACCGTACCTCTATCCTGCAGACAGGTCTGGTTTAGGATAAATGAGCTCAATAGATTATATTTCACTTGCCACTGTGTCTCAAACTACATACGTTGACATGATTTTATAATTTGCAACTGAACCAGGAAGGCCATTTATTTAATCTTTTTAATTTTTTTTGCATCACACGACCCTGTGTGTGTGAATGGGAAGCCCAACAGAGTGACAGAGTGAAGAACTCTGTTTTTAGGTGAATGCAGTATTGTGTTTCCCAGCCAAGGAAATCAGTGGTTCAGTTCTCAGTCACGCAGGCTGACATGCTTCAGCAGGACTCTTAAGGAGAACTGCATTATTCATGTTGTTGACTGGAGCCTGTTTTGCACATTGAGGTAGATCAGGGAAAAAGTGGAACAAGTGATGTGCCCGGCCATAATAGTTGATATTCTTGTATTTAAAAGTATTATTTTTAAATGTTTTATCCCATAATTTACATTTGCCATCATATTAGTGATATTGTTGGGTTTGATGGACTCAAGTGACTTAACTCATGCTGCAAGAAAATTAGCAGGTATTGCTCTAAAAAGTGTCTATTGTCTAATCAACGAGCTGAGAGATGTACAGCAGTTGGGCAGACTCCAGCTCTCAAACTACTCAGTTCAGGAGCACTCAAGTAGAGACCCAGCTTTACAGCTTTGAGAGCAGCATCAATTTTTCAAGCACCCCCGCCACAAAGGATTCTTGCTTCTTCAACATCTTATTCTTTTCATATTCATATCCATTTGCTGCCCAAAGAAGTTCTCTCTGCAGCATCTGAGAGAGAAATATAGCCGCATTTAATGCTGGATTCAGGTTGTATGTCATGCCTCAACACACTGTGGGAGGCAACGTAAATATTTAACAGTAATATCTTGGTCTCCTCCTGCGCCGTCTTCTCACAGTGAGTGCTCAACAGGACACTGCAGATTGGCAAATCAAGGTGTGACTCAAGGCTGATCCTATGGGCTTTATCAGTCTAAAGCAACTTTATTCACAAAAAACAGGCACCTACATGTGAGCATAGCCTGGTGTTTCTGTGAATTAAGATGTTGTAAAATGGAATTTTATTCTGCATTAAGATCAATCATCTGCGAGACCACTCATTGCACTTCCAGCCTCTTTTTCTATTGCGATTCACATTTCCCGTCCTGCCTGGCGGTTGCAGTGCTTTCCCGGCTTGCCAGCTTAGCCGTGGCGCTACTTAACTGCCTCTCACCATTACAGAAAAGCTTTTAGGGGACTTTTAAAAGGAGCTGTTCATTTACTGCCTGGAGCACTCCTCCCTGTTATAAATTGTTCTGCAAAACGCACTCATGGTGTTACCTTGCACAGTTTAAAATAGTAGAAAGGCGTGAAGTTCCTCCCAGCCTCGATGAGAGGTCAAACTTGCATTCAAATGAGTGTTGCATATCTTGAAATATGAGATAGTTTCACATAATAAAGCCTTGACGTTATGTGTGTATTATTTAAAGGATGAAGGCCTTTTTTACGATGCCATTACTGCTTGTACTCCAGAGGGACTCCTGGCTCCTATTCTACAACGATCAGGCTTCCACTTGGCTAAGTAGCTACAGTCATGTGACAGAGACTACCTACTGCAACATCTTTAAGTACTGTTTCTGCAGTGGGCTTGTGCTCCGGCTCGGCTAAAGTGAAGGCCGAGCAGCGTCTTATAATGCATTCTTTTTCGTTCTTGGCCTGAGCAAATTGGAATGGCTTCACGCAACTGTGTTAATTGTTTTTATCTACCACTGTTGCGTTTTTTGTTTTTCTTCGATAATTACTTGTAACCATCTGGTGTATTATTTTGAAAGTCTAATTGAAATTTAGCAGTGAATATATCTCCATCTGTCTGGTAGGGCTGGGCAATAAAACGATAATGATAATTATCGCAATATAATTTTCCTCAATCTAATGTTCAATATATCGTCAATAAATATTTGAATCTGAATCATAAACAAATTAGCACTTACATTTTCTATTAAGATATTTATTTTGTTGAGGAAAAGGGATTTAAAAAAGATTTACTAATCACATTTGTCAAAAGATTTTATCTCAATTGTTTTGAATGTTTTGTTAAGTGATCCACTGTTTGACTTCAAATGTTTGTCGCTTTCTGGCCATAAAAGTTTAACTACATAATTAACCATCTGGTTTCTTCAATTTTCACTCAGGAGTTCAATCAGCCTTTAAACTTGAAAGAAATAATGATTTGACATATATCGTTATAATTATCGATATTGAATCATATGAAATATTTTTATTGCAATAACATTTTTGGCCATATCGCCCAGCCCTACTCTCTGGCTTGAATTGGTGAATGGTTGCATGCAAAGTTTTGGTGTACACCTGTTGTAACTGGATGCAAAACATGTAGTGACTTGTTAATTTTGTTGACTTAAGGATTAACTTTCAGTGTTAATGTGTCTACAGAAAGCCTTGTTGGACATCATGTGCTTGAAGGGTGTGTCACCATGGTATTTCCTCTGGGAGGATATGTATTGTGTAGGAGATGAATGATAAGGTTAATACTGTACACTTCCCTCTGTTGTGAAGCCCACCCTTCTAATTAGCCTTTTTTTTTTTTTTTTTTTTTTTTTAGTTTGAGTCCAGTCATGTTTAGGCCTGCTTTGACTTGGTTCTTGTTACTATATGAACAGAAGGCTTTGCAGTTGCAATATTTTTGGCAAGGCCAAACCACAAAACCCCATGTAGCATGCCAGACCTACACTGAACTGACCTATTTCTTCTGGTTATTGTAGGCGGTGTTGACACTTGTCAGTTCTACTTCAATAAATTTCTTCCTTATCCTTAAATTCTCCTTCTCTTTTCCTGTCTGTCTACTGTAAATGCCAGCAGCTATTCCATCACTTTCCCCACCCCTCTGTTTGCTGCCCAGTGCTCCCCAGCTTGGGCCCCCAGACACACACAGCCTTTTGTTTGTAATTAAAAACACTGTCTCCTTTGTGTCAACTGGCCCATATCAGAGCCCCCATAATCACCTTTCTCTCAACTGGGTCATTGTCATCCGAGTCCCCCATAGATGCACGTGCATCCAGAGCATCAGCAACATGCTTGTGGTGCAGTTGGCCATTTTATCACAGCGGCTATTTTGACATATTGTCATAGTAGGATAAGCACTGCTAATAACATTTAACGATGGCTCTGTTATTAAAGTGTCCCAATGAGCCACCTGGAAACCACAAGACGAAAGCAGCCAAATGGAATTCAGTTGTTATTAATTTTGTTTATTCTTGTGCTCTTCCTACTAACATGTCAAAGTATCTTACAAGGAAAAAGGCCTAAATCGCATGTTGTCCCATAGTGCCTTACAGGCCCATACCGAAATGTGGAGTGAGACTAAAGTTCAGTAGACCTTTTGTTAACGCAGACATTTTAACGTGCCAAACACAGGTGTAAGCATTGATTTTTTTTTTACTTCCACAGCTGCTTTTCCTACTGTAAAAAATGTCTATGGGTCTGATTCATTTGGGAGGAATAATAATAAAGAAACACTAGTGCTGGGATGCTTGAAAAGCTATCAAGATTCAGATTTGAAATATTTATTCAGAAAGCAAATGCTATTGTAAAGTAAAAGATTGACAGATGTCTGACAAGAAAAACAGGTGATGCTCATCAGGCAAATCCATAATATAAATAAGATGAGGTGTTCCTTTTATTGATCCCCGTAGGGTAGTGTCAGTGATCATCAGTATCAAATAATCATAAGATATACACATTATGTCCAGTCAAAATAGTCCATTGGCAGAGATGGGACGTTGGGTGCTGTGGAGGTGGGATGTACTGGGTACTGTTGTAGAATTAGCCCATCTTGCTCTCAAGTTCGCTGTAAGTAATTGGAAAAACACGCAGGTTTTTGTTTGATATGTTATTGGGATATAATTCTGCATGTTTTTTTTGTTTTTTTGTTTTTTTTCCTCTAGTTTCTTCAGTATTGTTGCACATTAATAATTGACTTTTTTTTTTTTTTTTTTTTTTTTTTTAACTACCAAAGGAAAAGTTTGGGAAGTGGAATTTCAAGGTTAATAACGGTCTTACCTTGATAAATGCCTCAATGAGCAAATAACTCAATACACTGCTTTTGTGGCTCTTACAGCTATGGATCTGTTCATATATTAGAAATGACACATCACTGGGCAGGGATATGTTGTGAAATGATGACCAGTGGATACAGGCGGCCATGTAGTACAAAGAAATATAAACGGTGCGAAAAATAGAATAGAGGCAAAGATTAGATGCTTAGTTTTCTGTGTTAAAGTCAACCGTTGTGTACAGTGTGGTTTGAATGTGGTTAGTTGTACACCTTTGGCCTTGTCGGTTTCCTCCATGCAGGCCCACCTCTGCTTGTGCTTATACTTCAGTGACTATGGAAATGTAAGGAACTGACACAGGGCACTGAGACCAGAATAGAGCTCCAGTGTACTCTGGTGGGATATTTTTGCCTTGGAAAGGAGGTCAATCAGCCGCGAGAGTTCAGAGATTCATTACAAAAGAAAATGCACTGGGACCTTTCCTCATTATTGGAGAGATTAATGAGTTTTGAGTTGATTGCATCTCTGTACTTACTGTAGACATGGCTGTATGTTTTGTCATGGCCTGGAGTGTATGATTATATTGCTGTTTTCTTGGGGTAAATAATGAAGAAGTCGCACCAACCAGCAATGCAGCTAACTTGCCAAGATAGCTCCTGAAGCCATATACTCGACAGATGCAAAGTCAAACATCCTGTAGCATTTGAGGATTAGCACAACATTTGCTTACAGCCTTTCCTTTGTGAAGTGTCTTGCCAAATGTCATGCACGTTTGACTCGCCAAATGTCATGTCGTATTAAACAACTTTTAGTAATGTCAGCTGCAGTATTTAAACAGCTGTTCAAACTGACTCTCATATTATGTGTTAGGTCAACTATGAAATGTAACAGACGAGACTGGCAGTTGTAAGCCAAGGTGCTTTCTCCTGGTCCCCTTGGTGGATTCAGCCGGCTGTTCCAAATCTTTTTCTGTTCTGCTCTAATTGTTTTAGCCTCCTGTTCCCACAGGAGACAAAGACGGTCTAATCACAGTACTTACAGAAATAGGGGAATACCCAGTGGTTGTGAAGGAATCGGGATCAAACCCAAGGCCTTTGGGACTAGTAGAGTGATATCCCAAAGCTGTTGTGTGTGTGTGTGTGGCTCTTTGTGCACATGTCCTCTCAACCCCTACAGAGATTATCAGTGCAGGAGCTGACATCCTAATTCTCATCCCTCGAGTTTTATTCACTGATGCACAGTGGTGTTGCTTCCCCCCGCGTGCAGATTATGTTTCGATTTAGGTATACGCCCGCTCATTGATTGTCTCCTTTTAAAGGAACACTGACATTTTGGTTTTATTGCACCATTTCGTCAAATTGGAAACATTCACAGTATAATATTTAATATCTATGAATTTTCTGCTTTTCAGGATGAAACTGGTGCTTATCTCATAGACAGAGACCCCACATACTTTGGGCCAGTGCTTAACTACTTGAGGCATGGCAAACTGGTGCTCAACAGGGACCTGGCAGAGGAAGGTAACGTCTGTGGAATATGAGATGCACTCTAAGAAATGTTTGCCAAATCAAAATACGCTGAACAGTATGACAGTGATTGCAAAGAACTAAAGGCAGTCTTTCTAAACCGCCTACATCTACGCCTTCGTTTTAACAGAATGCAGGTGCAGTACAAATAATGTGATTAGTCAAAGAAGTATAGATTCTAAGACATTAATTAAATACTGTTATTTGTAGTTTGTAGTAGCAGGATAAGTCTGCAATAAAAGCTTCATTGTTTCTTTTTCACTATTGTAGGTGTGCTAGAAGAAGCTGAATTCTACAACATCACATCATTAATAAAGCTCATCAAGGACAAGATCAGGGACCGCGACTGTAAAACATCACAGGTATATGAAGTTTAGATAGATCTCTCCATGAATGTGACATTCCTATTCTATTTAATTTTGTGACCCCTTGTTATTTCTTCCTCTCAGGTTCCGGTGAAGCATGTGTATCGGGTGCTGCAGTGCCAGGAGGAGGAGCTGACACAGATGGTATCCACCATGTCTGACGGCTGGAAGTTTGAACAGGTAAATCTTTTCCCACGGGCTTACAGCAGCAGCAGCAGCAGCAGCAGCAGTAGTCCTCCCCTCATGTGCTTCACCCACCCCGCTATGCTCACGTTGACCCAGAAAGTCCAGTCCTGAATATTGGAAATGGCTAAAAAAGCAAATCACATGTTTCTCTATGTCCGCATACGTGATCCGGGCATCCCTTCTGTGCTCTGATTGGTTGTTGCAGCTTGTCAGTATAGGTTACGGGCGGGCCCACCAGTCAGAGTTTCTGCTGATTGTGTCAAGGGAGGTGAAGGGAGAGGAGTCTGCTTTGCCAAACAACAGCGGAGAGGTGTGTCTAACAAATTTCTGTCCACGGGCTGGTCACTGCATGGTCCCCATGTTTTGTCCATATACACCCCGTTGGCCATTGTTTTTTGTCCCAAGTAGACACACAGCTGCTGGTCATTTCTTGAGTTGGTTCTTTTCAGTGTTAATTTGTACTGCTTGCTCACCACCAGTGAGGCTAAGAGAACAGAACACATTTTTTTCTTGTGTGTTATTGTATTTTGTTTTGCTTCTTTTTTTTTTTTTTCTTTTTTCTTTTTTTTTATTCATACTGCATTCACAGTTTGTAAGCTTGTCAACAGCCTTCTGTGTTTTTTGCTTGGATGTAGCCATTTGGCTATTTTGGGGGGCTCTGCTGTAATATAGTACTGGTTGTTTAGAGCTGAAAAAATCTTCTCAGCAGGTAATCTACCTTGTACTTGAAATAGATTCAAATATTTAGAGGGAATAGTCTGAGATTGCATGGGTGTTGTGGACGTTTGTATAATGTGTGAATGAATCTCTCTGAGACGAGGGATCACTGGATCTCCCATTAGAGCTGAAATCTCTCTAATCTCCTTACACAGGTCAGATGGGAAACTCGTAGAAACACTCCTTGTGCAAAGCCTAAATCTCAGTCGTCAGCACAGAGGAGTCTTTTGGGGAGATGAGCTTTTTGACCTGCTGCCGTCTTTAAGGCTGCATAAACACAGATCATTTGGTGATGTGTATTTTAAGCGGAAAGTCGTAGGGTTTGGTGCATGCCGAGTCTTTAGCAGTGTGACAAGTGGAATCCATGGTAGCTAGTTGAGATTATTTCTTTTTTTACTGCGTTGATGGATCTAGAGGGAACTCTGACAACGACGACAACAACAAGTCTCTGGCAGCAGTGGCTAATGAGGCGATGCATGTCTGAACATGCACACCTGGGTACAGACGATATACATGTAGCCTGCAGTATACACGCACTTAACATTCAGCAGTAGTTTTGTTCTCTTTTCATCAGGTTTTTCAAGACGTGCATGCAGTTTGTTTATTAAGATCTTTGTCGTCCCTTTTTTTTTTTTTTTTTTTTTCCCTCCTGTCTCCTTTTTGTTTCTTCAATTCACACTGACGTGACTGGGAACAGGAAAGTTATTGTAAAATATGTAATTAACGATACCATGTGTGGGATTTTCTCATACTAATTCTTTACATGACAGACACATTCAATGCTTGAAGGAAAAAGCCACTCGCTGTTACAAGCAGTAGCTTCACCGATATTTTAAATTGGGTTGTTTTGCTCCTCGGTTCCCTCTCACATCTTGAGTACGCTCTTGTGGTAGGTAGTCTGGTAAGCCATGCAGCTAATTCAAGACATTATGAAAGCATATACGCATAGCATTGATCTTAATTAATGTGGCAGATGACGTACTGGAGAAAAATCCGACACATCTCGTCTGCGTCATGGTACTACTAACATTAAAAGATTTAGTCACACAGTTGAAAATAAAACTGGTGTTTTTAGTTTTTGACACTTCATTGCTTCATTAACTTAAAACAAGCCTGGTCCAAATCCACCGTTTCTCGACTTTCAACCAGCATGTTTGCTTCCTGTGGTCAAGTCCCTGCACTTGTATTCAGAAACTATTTTCTGTCTTTGTGCCGTTTCTTTCATTACCAGTTCTTTTTTGTTTGCCCTTTGATCCACATTAATATTTTATTTTGGGTTTCAGTGCTGGCATGTCTGCAGGTGTTGAAAATACGGTTTCATTTCCTTTTTATTTTTTTTATAAATGTAACATACGTTGACACATTTCAACGTAGTCTTAAAGTCTTGACTCCTCTAAATTCTCTTGGTGTATTAGTTTACATTGTTAAAGCGTGATGCCCTGTTTGCCTTGTGTACCATGTAATTGTGCATCTGACCCACCATATCCCATATTATATGGTCTCTATTGTCATCTAACAAAGGCAAAACATCCAAAATAATTAAAAACAAACTGCATAGTGAGTTACATAGGCCATACTTTGCCCAAAACAGTTCATACAGACCTATGTCTAATTAGTAAGACTTGTCTTGTTTTATCCAAAATGCCATGAGAAGCCTTAAATTTAAGTTGCAGGATCCTGTAGACTCTCTGTGCTCCTTGATTGGCCGTCAACCTCCTTTTTTTTAAATTACTTTAACGTCTCCCTACCTCTGTTTTCCCAGCATGAGTAACCCAGTTTTTACTAGTCTAATCCTTCCTCTGTGCTCTGCTCCTGTGTCTCTCTAGCTGGTCAGCATAGGCTCCTCTTACAACTACGGCAACGAAGACCAAGCTGAGTTCCTGTGTGTAGTCTCCAAGGAGCTGCACAATCAATCATACGGGACCAACAGTGAGCCCAGTGAGAAGGCTAAGGTAAGTGTGTGTGTGTGTGGAGAGGCCGGATGAAAATCCATCCACAGCAAACATCTCTGAATGATGGCCTGTGCTGGATGTTTTTTAAATGCGTCGCATTTATGAACATGCCGCTGCGTGACTGAAAGCACCTCTGGTTTATTGATGAGAAACCTCTATGAAGGAGAACATTGTGAATATTCAGTCCTTCAGCTGAAAATACTGCCCGCCTGTATAACCATAAGCGATCAGAGGAAAAAGAAGAGAAAATGTATAAATGAAAGCAAAGCTGACATTCATTTTGACATTTCTCTACCGGAACTAACCCAGCTTTTAGGCTTATGTCGTGTGAGATTTGACCTGCAATAAAAAGTCAACAGCGTAATCCGGCTAGGGGTATTAAGGGAGCGCAGGTCTGCAGATTAACGGTGCTATTGGCAAGGTTTGCCATTTTCTCAAGGGCTTTTGGGAGCAAAGCAGGAGGCACACCCTGAGGAAGTCAAACTCCCATCAGTCCCTGTGGGACTCATGGAGAAGCACAGAGTTAAAGTTAGATTCATGTTGTTCATGCAACAGAAAAATATTAAACACTACCTGCGCCATCTTTCAAGCATCTTTTGTTGTGATTGTTTTCAGGGGCACTATTTAAAGTAGTATCTCTGCTTTTTGTGGTAAACACATTTTATTTGAGGTGCACTCGGATAACATTTGTACTTTTTATTTTGTGTTTGGTACCTTTTTTTTGATTGACACAAAATGTAGTTGTTAATGTGAATCCCCTCTGAACATTAGTTCTATTTTTCTCCTTGTTCTCCTTTCCAACATTTTCTACCTCCATTCATTTCCATTATTTTACTCCATGCCTTTCTTGTCTTCTTCTGTGCCGTCTGCATGCTGCACATTGCTCAGAGCGAGGACGAAGAGACGGATTATGAAATGAATGACTCTGATTAGAGTTGAGCACTTATGACTCACTGGTGAGCGCTCAAGTGCTCGTAGTCCCTCCACCACGCCACCCTAGTTTGTCCCTCTCCGTCCTCCCCCATGCCTCCTTATTGCAATTTACACTACTGAATTTATTTGTTTTCAAAGACAACTTGAGCTAATTATATACTAAAAGCAGAGCAAAGTGACTGAATCCAGGTTGAAAATCAGCGTTAGGGCCTGCAGGCCAAAGCTGGATCAAAATCCAGATGGTTCCTGCTGAGACTGGCAGAGTACTTGTTTGCAGGTGGAGCTCTCTTTGAAACCAGATGGGAAGAGCTCCATTTGTTTCAGTAGTGTAAATAAGACCCTTGTAATTATTGTCATGCTCAAAGCCTTGGTTAATGGAGGGCATGCTGAATCATCAGCTGCTGCAGTTTGACTCATTGCCCTCATTCAATGACATTTAAAGGGAAGGCCAGGTTACTACGCTCCCTATTTCCTTTCCGTTGTCAAAAGTAGTAGTAGCAGTTGAGGTGAAGGTAGGGATGTCAAACTATATTTAAAATTTTTAATTATGAACAGTGGCAAAATGAAAGTCATCGCAAACGATTACATAAACATTCCACAGAGAGCAATGTCAGAAAACAATGTTTAGTCATAAGGAAATCTTTCCCAAAATCCAGATTTTAAGATGCAGATGGATTGCATAATCCAATGCAGATAACATTTCTTTAGCTTTTGTATAAAAGGCTACAAATCTAAAATCAAAAAATGAGCATCGCAATTTTCACAACAGCTTTTTGTGTTTGTGACAAATAGTCCCAAAGCCAAAGATATTCAGTTCACTGTCGTGTAAAACAATGAGAAAATAGCAAATCCTCACATCTGGGCTGGATTCAGAGTGGTTGACATTTTTGCTTCAAAATCGTTCAATCGACTAACCGTATTTAGCTGCAACTGGGTCGGATATCAGATTATCAGATTAATAGAGGCGGCTAGAGGGCTGGGCTATATGGCGAGAATACACACGACATAAAAAAGGGAACTAATGACCTAATGCATAACTTTCTGTTCAGTTTTCAGTATGAAGAATAATTAAGGGGTTAATTTTAATGTATTGTTACTGCAGTATGACAATTTGTTTTATGACATGGAATCGGTTTATCTCAATTGACTTGCACAAACAGTATATCAGGGGTATTTTGGTTTAGATTAGCTCAATATGTGCGATGGAGGCAAGGCCCCAGACGGGGGATAGGTGCACCAGAAGTGTGATGAACAAGTCATTTATGAAAGAACAACTCCTTTTAAATTGACAACCTGCAATAACAAATGATTTTGAAAGCGCAAATAAAACCTAAAGAAATTGATTAGACTCGATTTGACCTTCGTGTTTTTGGCTGCTCAGAATCCTTCAGACTGCTGTGGTTAGTTTCATCAGCATGTCTTTCCAGTACCAAGGTTTGATCCCACCTGACAATGAGCTTTTCTGCTTCATGAGCTCCCTCAGAGTCGGCTCTAACGCCACGTTACTACGTAGTCTCTAGCACAACGCTTTATTTTCCTCACTTGTGCAAACATTTCCCTTTTTCTCTCTGCACCCTGTTCAGTGTGTTTGATTCAGTAGAGTAAATGTCTGAGTGCTCCTGGCTGGGAGAGTGTGCACTGTGTCAGCAATGAGTGCTTAAGGAAAAACAACCTACTAAAGTCTCTTTGACTGCTGAAATATGGGAGACTGTGTAACAGTGTGGTACGATGTGTTTTTGTTGATTATCTTTTCTTTTTCTTTATCTCTGCAGATTCTTCAGGAAAGAGGTTCCCGGATGTGAAGAGGACTTGCTATTATGAGGTCCAGGTGTTATGATGCAAACATATCATCTTTGTGGAAGAACGTTTGGCACAATGGAGATTTAAAGGGGGGAGTGTGCATTTATTTTGTGTGTTCCCTCCATTTTTGTTTTTATTTCTTGATGTAAATAAGTCTGTTTACTGACAATTTGTGCCTGTACATTTAAACTGGACCTATTTTTTGAATTAGCGGCAAGTTTTTTTTTTTTTCTAATTGAAAGTAAGGAATTGCAATCATATGTTTTATGCTATAAATTATGGCCATCGTCATATAAGGCCAATGATTCACTCAGGGTCATCTATTGAGTTAATCCTTATATCCTCTAGCTCAAGGCGTCTGGTAAGGGATCAGTAGGGTTTTTATAACTCAAAAGTATCAAACTCAAAATCATTGTTTTGGGGTGTTAAGAAGGGAATTGTGCATTTATTTAGCGCATGTTAAAGAGTTACGCTGTTAAAAGTGAAATTCTCCCCAAAAAACGAATCGATTAAAATACTTTCCCCAAAGAATTCAAACAGTTAAGCCGAGATTTGTGATCATGAGGATCCCAGCTATACAACACACATTTTCAGATGCATTTCAAACAATATACTTTACATGGAAAAAACATTTTCAGTAACTATTCGCTTTCAGAAAAGGACACCTTCTCAGACCAGGATGAAAACTATGTGAACAAAAATGGGGGGGCATTAGGTAATTTATCAGGGCTTTTATTTATGGCGTGGAAGTGACCTGTAATGAACAGAAATAAGAGACCCATTTTCACATAGTCTAAGTAAGCTAACTTTAGAGATACATTAGAAATATCTGCCTAACATGGCAATGTACTTCTTTATTCGCTTTCTTGGCTTGAGAAGAAAAATGTGTTTCTAGTGAAGTTGCTTGTGGCACCGTGTACTCTGTCTCGTAACCTAATTTCCCACAGAATTGGCCATTGTGTGCTGTTGGATTAAGTAATTATTATATTTTTAGGAAGTCCACTTACCGGTTTTATGGATGGAAACCGGTAAGCATTGGGCACACCTATAACCACAAATGTTCATTCAAAATGTTGCGTTTTAAACTTTCTATCGAGTTTAATCTGTCAGACATTTTTCTTAACCTCTTATTTAGTTTGAGACCTCATGTTCATAAGTCTAAAATTAACTGCTAGAAATATCAAAGGTGTTGAAATGTGAATTCTGTTCTGCAGTGATATTTTTTAACATCATCCAACGACGTCCTGTTTCCTGTCAGGAAAAACATCCTTGGGACAGTAGCGTCTTAATTTTTTTTTCCCCACTGACTTCTGAGTTTTTCTTTACTAGTTTATTTTGTGTTTGAGGGAACATCTTGTTTGATTATGATCTTTTTTGACAGGGAGTATTTGTGGTGTGGGAATGCAGTTTGAAAGCAGTGGTGAAGGACTTTCTGTTCATATCCAGAGGATTTTGTTTTGATGTAAATAATCTAAATTTAATATTTAACTCTTTAAGAAAACTGCACGATTTGTACACTGTATAGAAAACACAACTTTGAATGGAAGTTGTTTATACTGGATCTTTAAAAATGAGAATTTGACAATGTTAACTTTTGTTTTGCATTGTTTGTACAGGACTCTAGTTAGTCTAGACTTTCTGAGGTAGGGTTGAAACAGCTGATGCTGAATACAGCGTATTTCACTGAGAACATGCCTGGAACATGTTTTGATAACCAATAACAAAGCTATACTTGGCTGGCTACGAAGTTGACTGTTACATTTAAAAACAAATGTATTTTTTCCTGCGTTGTGATAGATTCTTCTAAGTATTTTGAATTGTGTAGATTTCGTACACAGCATTACAAGCACTACAGTGGTAAACACTGCACATTGCTTACAAGCCTGTAATGTTGTTAATGTAAATACTGCATTTTAGGACACTTTTTTTTTTTTTTTTTTTTTTTTTAAATAGAAATTTGTTTTCAGGTTTGATGTGTGGTTTTGATAGGTTGGATATTTCATTCACAAATAATCATTAAGTGTTGCCTTTTTCCCAATGACCAAAATCCAATGTCTTATGTGTATCTTACACATTAATCTTAGTGTCAGGGATGAGTAAACTTTTCTTAATGCTGGCACACTTTGTACATATAGACTTGTTGACGACACACAAACCTCCATTTACTCACATGAACACGTATACACTCGACTAAAACAATTTTTATATCATCGGGGATACAAGTATGGATGCATGTGTTTTTTTTTTGTTTGTTTTTTTTAAATATAGATAAAATATATACACACACACAAGGGCTTTTAAAGTGCAAAATTTGACATCTGCAAAGAGGTTCAATCAAAGTAGACTGGAGTTCCTGCCAGAGCTAGGCTATGTTTACATTTGCTATAGTATTCTGAAGCCTTCCAATTATGTACTGTCTGTACTGCACTCCCTCACACACGTTAACATTTGTCTGAATTGTGTGACTGCACCAGTGGCAACTACCACTCCCCACTTCACATGGACTAATACTCACACAGCACTTGCTGACTGATAAGACACTCCACCCATTTCTGACAGCCTATGCTTGAGCGTTGCAGACAATCTTGCTTTGAGATTCTCACTATTTAATAGAATAAGACATGCGTGCGTTGGCTCAGAGTAAAGATTTATTTGGGTCTTGTTCTGAGGCTTTTTTTTTTCTTTCTTTCTGCGATGAGATTTAAAGTGTTTTTATGTTTTTGATTTGCTTGGTTAAGTTGTAACCTCAGTTGATATACTCTGGTTTGAGGTGTTTAACCCCTCTATTTTTAGCAGCTATATTACCATTAATTCGCTGTCTGGTTGAGCATTTGGCATTGATAATCATTTCATGTAATGGACAAACTTATCAAATCTGTAGCCTAATACTTATAAGTGCCCAGTTTGTTTTGCATTCAAGTCATAAGCCACAGACCACTGTAATGCATGATTGAAGATTATCACACTTGTAATCGGAGAATGAATGTGTCATTTTTCCTCAGTCTAGCATATACATCAATAAATAAGGTTCTCATATCACTTCATAGATCACTTCTATATGATCTTATGCAATGTTAAAATATACACATTAAGTATGAGGTTAAGGGGATAGATCTATATGGTCTTGCATAAGGTAAACTCAATAAAATGTTGTAATTCATGTGGTCTGTGTGTACTCTTCTTTTAGAGATGTTTACTACTTTAATTTCTTAGTTTTTATACACAGTACACATATGATTAGCTTTTTATAAATATCAGTAATCCTATCAGACATGTTCATCACATGGAAGCGTTCTTACACAAGCAGGCTTCAGCAATAAATGGATAAATCATCATAATCCTAATTTTGGATAAATAGCGACCTCTTGTGACACTTCCTCAAAACATGTTGCTTTAGCATAGTTGTCTGATAAAATGCCTGTTTCAATGTAGGCGATGATTTTTTGTTTGTTTTACACCGGAGAATAAATTAGTGTTTTTGAGTGTCAAAACTCTCAAATTGGTTTAATCTAAACTATTTTGTAATAGTACACATAATGTAAAACGTAATCGTTGGGTTAACGGTCGTCAGTCTGCGCAAAGATGTTATATTCGAGAAGATGGGAATCCACCTGTGTTTAGTAGAAGCGCTTGGGCATTCATGATGTATGTAAAGGGAAAACTACGATTAACTTCATATAACGTAGATCATTTTAATAACAAAACATGATGCGTCTCGCACATTTTAAAGAGAGATTTGCTTGTTTTATTTTCTGAACATGTAATATTAGACAGCGGCAGGGCACATGAGCAAAGAGTAACAACCGCAAAGATGAGATTCACCAACAAGTTAAAGGTCCTTACGATTCACTGTGTGCTATCAGCATAAACTATTTTGCTCAGATTAAATGGAATAACTGGGAATAAAAATGGAACAAATAACCGGATAAAAGCGTTGACAGTTAAAAAGACGCAAACGTTCCAAGATAAACGCGCAGACTGATCTTCCTAGGAGTATTTAAGCAAAGACGGAAGTAAACGACGGATGACTGTTTCGCTTCGCTGTTCTGTGTCTGGAGTCGGAGCGGGTGGCTTTTCAGGAGGGAAACTTTGCAAGGTTTAACGGGATTTGAGCACGATTAATACATTTCGCTTAATTACACGAGCCAGTGCAGCCATACTGAAAGGTAGGAGCACACATTGATAAAGGAACATGTACATTTTGTCGTGTATTATGATATTTTACCCGCTTCAGTTTGCGCCATTTTCGCTAGTTTGGTCATGCACAAATGTGCGCCTTTTTAGCTCTGGCGTTCTTTGTCCCTATTCTTTAATAGGTTGTGAAATGGCTTATTCCTTTAGAATATTTCACATCCCTGTTTGCTCATCCAGAATAGATATTGATAAGCGTTAAAGTAAATACAGTGATCACTTTTCTCATCCAAAATTGTGTCCAAATCAAGTGCAATTGCGCATTTTTGTGCTGCATCAGGCCGTGTCAGACGCTATCAGCGCCAGCGCCTGTTAAGAGATAGCCTGATTCTGGCGCACATGAGTTAGCTTATCAAGCTAACCGGCTAGCTTGCTAATCAAATAATATTAGCTTTCATAGTCAGTTAGTGGACGTTTGCGTTGACAGCAAGTTTACAGTGAAGCCCAACGAACATGAAACTGATTAAACGTTAATGTTTTCATTTTCTGACGCCCTTAAGGTTAACACAAACGCAGCCGAAAGAGTAACGTTAGAAGAAGCGTTTTTGTAGACATGTATCACCACCGGCTAACTTGGCTAGCCCCCTTAGCGTTACGTTACAAGCCATGTCGGTGTAAACGGTACTTTTAAACAGTTATTCTACGACTGATGAGAAGTGGTTCACATTACGTCCTAACTGATATGCTTACAGAGTAGCCTACAACTCCACTGCTGTAAAGTTAGTAACCTTAGTGGGCTGTTAACTTTCTAGTTATTGCCAATAACAGTTGTGTTGCTTTGCCTCGTTGTCATTACTTCCAAATCAAATTGCTATAGCGATCTTTTAACGATAGCCATTGCAATTAGGAGTCTTTATTATATCTCGTAATTAGCTTTGAAGCAGACTGGCAACATCTTGCAACTTATAGCTACCTCTGTAGAAAGCCACGCTAGTTAAAGTGGAGAAGTTGATATTCAACCTTAATTGTATCATAGTGATTTATCTGATTAACACACCTTCATGTAGAGAAGTTTCTACATACATTGTGTGGTCGACAAGTATGTAGGAAGTCCCCAATCAAGTTATCTTGAATACTGTATAAGCTACATGGGCACCTGATAACTGGATCTCACTACATGGATAATGTCAGGTTTTCACTACTTTTAGATCACATTACAGAGGGTAAGAGTTTTTCTGCCACCATGAATCACAGAATCATGTAAAAAATAACAAAACCCTATGTTTTAAACTAAGAGGACTAAATTCTATAAGACCATGAAAACAAGCACATTGTCATGCTGTAATATTACTACTTGGACCACTTTACATAATGTAGGAGCCTATATTGTACCGTGTAGCCACAGGATCTCTAAGAATGGACCAAAACAATTAGGGCTGCAACTAACGATTATTTTTGTTATAAATTAATTGGACTTTTTCATCTGAAAATAATGAAGACATTTGTTTGTTTTGATGGACCACCTGTCCAAAACCCAATGAGAAAATCATTCAGAGCAGAGAGAAGCTCCAAATCCCTAGCCTGCATCCTCCTTTACTTCTTTGCTTTATAAATGACTTACTTGACTAATCATTTCAGTTCTGAAAACAATCTGTGATTCAAGGTCAGTTCAAGTTTTCAAGGCATTGACCACATCCACAAAGTCTAGGGCTTTGTAAACTCATGCTGCCAAGTCAGACCTGATGTTAGACATGTCTTTTTTATAGAACTGACTTGGTGTTGTCCTTCATCGCAGGAGTCCACGAATCATGTCAGGCATTGCATTGAGCCGGCTTGCCCAGGAGCGCAAGGCATGGCGAAAGGACCATCCGTTTGTAAGTAGTGTCTTTTGAGATGCACCTGTTCTGACTTCACTGTGAGGGTCTATTGAGCGTTCATTATATAAAGCAAAGTCCTCCAGTAAACATTGATGTCTTAACTGTGTGCACTCTCCTTTTTAATGTCTTCAATTTTATTAGGGATTTGTTGCTGTACCAACAAAAAATCCAGATGGAACCATGAATCTCATGAATTGGGAATGTGCTATTCCTGGCAAGAAAGGGGTAATGTGTTTCATAGTCTGTTTGCATACAAGACATCTTTGCTTTTACATAGAAATAACTCCTAAATAGAACATGTTGAGCTTTATAAGACCATGACACTTATGTAGCAGATGCAAAAGAGCCTGTGTAGTTTTAAAGAAGGTGTATTGCACAATACAACTACTGAGATTTTGTCTTGAATTACCTCTTGTGCTTGCACAGGTAGTAAATACCAGGTACTGATTCACATTTCCAGGTGTCAAAGTCCACCTGTTAATTCTTAGCTACGGATAGAAGAGTGGGCCTTGATCCATCTTTTAAAATTAATTTAAACTGAATGATTTTTTTTGTTTTTGGTGGGAACTTGGGTGACTTTGACTTTCTGTTCAAAAGCTAATGTAACGGTTGTGTCTCCCCAGACTCCGTGGGAAGGAGGCCTGTTTAAACTGCGCATGTTGTTCAAGGATGACTATCCTTCTTCACCACCAAAATGTGAGTTACTGTGTCTGACCTGTATTCAGTGTGAACACTTCTGTTGTTGTGATTACTACACACGCCGCGCTATTCAGTCAGTAGATGGAGTGTAAAGCCAGCTGCACACCAAAGCACATGTCTTCCTTTGAGGGCATTTTGCATTAGCAGGTGTAAATTATTTCCTAACAGTAGCAAGAGTAACAGTCTGGCTTTTTTGACAGCTAAGTTTTGTTGTAACGAAGATCATAATTTATAGCGAAGGGCTAACTAGTTGAAATAGAAACCCCATGTTGTAGCGTCCTTACTAAAGCTGAGCCGTGTTGGACCTGCTTAACATCTTTGTTGTCATCGATCTGATAACCCGTGTCTCCTTCACTGCAGTACCAAATACAGATTTCTTTCCCCCACATATATTTTAAGACTTGTTAGTGACTTTAGGGTTGGGCGATTTGTTTCTATTTTCATATCGTCTCGGTAACTCGAGATTGCCGATAGTCAGTCTAATTACTAGGGGGTAGAGAGTTATGTTACAGCACGCCAGTGATATGCCAGCATGGATGACTTGGTCAAAGATAAACGTAATGGCTTGTATTTGGAAATATTTTGGTTTTTGCCCAGATGCCAACTATGAGCCTAAGGATATTACACAGTCTAAAATCAGAAAGCAAAGTAAAAAATGTGTGACAGTGAAGGACCCTTTTAACCCTTTGAAACCTGCAATAGAAATGGTCCGGCAGTGCCTATATTGGTATATGATGTAATTTCTTTGAGTATCTTCAAGTCTCTTCTAAAATCTCTACAACCTATGATGAAAGGTTTTCCAAGTCGGTAAATTATAATTGATAAAAGTATTTAAATTGTATAATAAAGAAACCATATTGATCCAAAAAAATTCTAAATGTAGAAACAGGAACAAAATATTTCTATATTCAACAAAATGCTCTTCATCCTCACTGAAGGAGGAGTCGGGAACGGAGGAAACAGCTGCTTCTTCATCATCGCTTGTGAACAAAATGCCCCAAATCTCATTGGCTGAGTACCTTTTCCTCGCCATCAAGACCAACGTGCTCCAAAATACGCTCCAAAACTATGCTAAGATAAACTACGGATTCTTTAATCCTCATGTCCTGCAATGTTTCACCATAATGAAGTTATCGCAAGTAAACCGTGATGACCCAAATGACAGAAGGCTTAGCATGCTGCTGCTTATTTTACATTGATTTAAACCGAATCATTCAAACCACGATTCCCCACGGTCAGTTGGGGCAATCCTGTAGCGCAACTGCGCATCACCGCGTCTGGCAATGCATGTAATGTAACATAATGACGACGACACAAGCATACAATGTGATGACCTGAAAGACAAGCACCTAAGCTTTTCGCTGCAAAAATAATGAATGCTCTAGCTATTATAGTTTTTATTTTAAATTGTTTCCTTTTTTTTTAAAAGGACTAAGCAAATAATCTGTGGGAA